TTGCCATGACCTGGTGTCGAGAAAACTTCTTCACGATCAGATCGCCAAGTCTCCGTCAACAAAACAATGTCATGCGTGCCATTGTCCAACTCAACCTAGCAATCTTGAAAACGAGTTTCATCGCGAATACTTGGCACTTTTTTGGTGACAACATGCAAGCTCAAGTACACGGGTTGCGTGTCCACATCATCGACTGCATTCTTAGAAGAGTGACAGCCTCTACGATGTACTGCCGTATTGTGGACGCCTGCGACTCCCGGTCCTTCGCTGACAGCATATCCCTACTCCAAGTCTGCAACCAAACCATGAACTGCCTTGCGAACATCTTCGCTGAGCGGACAAGGCATGGCCCACTGAACAGCCCCGTCGACGCCAACGTCGGCCACATGTATAAATTTGTGCGCTGTCCTCATCAAGACTTTATGTGTTCGGTAATTTGCCAAAACGTCTTTGAGGGCTATGGAATCGATCTCGATGGCAAACTTCTTGATCTTGCCAAAGTTTTTCTTTTGCATTCCTTGGTGGCGTTTCTGTGCTCGAACGAACTTGTACATATGTGCTGATGAATCGAGTTGAGCGAAAAGCACTGTTGGATTTTGATTTGTGGAATTTTTTTCCCCTGGCACGAACGTCCTGCTCTTGCCGCACGTTGTTGTGCAGCCTCCTACTGTACCCCTTCTCTTCCCTACCCGCCACGTGGCGGCAGGCGGCTCGGCCCTGCTGCGTCCGCAACGTCGAGTACGCGATCCGGCTCTGGGGCTGACCGTTGGCTCGCGTGAAGCGGCGTCGGCCAAGCTGACCCGAGGGCAGTGCTTGTGACGGCCTGTTGTACCGACACAGCCAACATTGCCCACCAATGTCTGGCCCATCCCGACGAAGCAGCACTGCGCACGGCCGGCGGAGCTCGCTGAGCACGGACACGCACAAGGTCTCGGAGCAACTGGTGTGCACCGGCGTTCCACCGGCCGCCGACCTCGCTTCCGAGCACCACCAGCTGTTGCGGGCCACCGTTCAGCTCTGGGTAGGCGGCTCGCTTGCGGCGCTCGGCGACCCGCAAGCTGGCTCCGTCGCGCGCGGCAGCGCAGGGCTGCGGCAAGCCCGTGCGTGACAGCGGCGACACGAGTGTGGCGTCGCAGCACAGGGCCCCGCCGAGAGGCGTCGCTCCGTAGATGACGAGGTCCAGGCGGCGCCGGTCATCGGAGCGGACGCTGGGTGCTGTCGTGTGCGCGAGCCACTGTTGGGGGACCACCTGCCCATCTGGACCATTCTGGACCGACGGCCTCCCGAGCTACGCGCACCCACGCGCGTTCCAAGATCTTCGCCCTGCGCGCTATCAGGCCGGTGCGAGTGCATGCGAGGGCGTGGTCGCCAAAAGCGTCCACTTCTCCTCCGCATCCGGGTGGGCCACAACAGCTTGCACACAGGGGCAGTGGGAGACGCAGGCGGCGGCGCAGTGCCAGGAGCATTGCTTGGGGCGGAAGCATGCAGGCCGGCTCACAGGGTATTGCGGTCAACCAGGCACCGGCCTGTGGGCCTGCTTGCGACCGGAGGAAGGCGCATGCGGACGGCGACAGGGAGGGCAGGAGCGTGCGTTCGCGAAGGTAAAGGTTGCGAATACGCGATGCACAGCACTTCCATCCATGTGGCCAGTCACCCAGGCCCTGATCAGTCGTACGCGGTGGACGGGCGCCCGCCCCGATCGCTTCCCAAGAAGGGCACTCATGCCAACCTTCCGCCTGAAGGAGCTCGCGTGCCTCAACTGCGCTCTGGAGGCTCTGCGCTCGCCCCCCGCCTGCAGCGAGCAACCGCGTGCAGGCATCTGCGAAGGCTGGGGATCGCTTGCGGAGCTGCGGCAACGCGTCGGCCCATGCAGCCTAATATGCGGCCGGCGCTGTGCGAACAGCAGAGCTGAGGCCCAAACCTCCGAGAGCTGCCGGCAAGGTTGCCATGTTCTGCGCGTGTGTAACGTCCGCTGTGGCCACGCCGCCGAGGCAGAGCTCCAACGTCTCCCACAGCGCTGCGTCATGCGCCTGCGCATAAGGCTCTACGGCCTGCGGGGGCACGGTGCGCAGCGCGTGGTTGGCTCGCGGCGAGGCGCACATTGCCAGGAGAAGCCATGCGCACTGCAGATCGGGGAGTTGCGGGAGCTGGTGCAGCAGCTCTCTCTCCGTCTGGAGCCGCTGTGCTGCCCACGCTGCAGCCCACGCTCTGCCAGTGGCTTGTCCCCGCGCCACGTCCTGCAAGCCATGTACATCAGCAAGCGTGGTGTTCACGAGATCTTCTGCTTCTTTAGCCTCTAAGTGGCCAAACCCACCGATGACTGCCACTGCTTTCTCAAGATCATCTTGTTCTGCGGTGGACGGCACAGGAGACCGGAAGGTGGGGCAAGCCTGTTGCGACACGTGGCACGCACTGAACGCGTCAAGACTGGCAAAGGCCGGCAGGATGGGCAGCGCAAGCGGTGCACGTTAGCGGCCAAGTGGGTCAAGCAACCGAGATGCAAGCGGTGCTGACAATTGGGCCGCGCATACGGCAAATCCGGGCCCCGCCCCCTTGTGTGGACGTCGCACATGCACACAGGGCACGCATCTGCAGAAGGGTATGGCGGAACCGGGGCGTCGGGGCCCCGGAGCCAAAGGGGGGGGTTGTAGGGGCTGCATCGGCTGCGGGAACGCTGCCAGCAAGCAGTGCCGGCGAGGAGTGCACGGTGGTCGGCGAGGGTATTGCAGGGCCGGCAGTCGGTGCGACAGGTGTCACATTTCCTGGCGAGTAGTCGGGCGGTGTGTCGGTACGTTCAGCGAACTGCAAGAACGAGCCCGCAGCAACGCGAGACGGCATGCCACAGCGAGCTCAGGGTCCTCTTCGTCGACCTTCTCCCCCAACAGCGCGAGCAGGCATCGCACATGGCGACGAGGAGCCAGGAGCACTGGAGGTCTGGCACCGGAGGTCGGGCAGCAGTGGGAGCTCTGTAGCCACGCCGCATCGATGTCGGTGTGTGCGGGGCTCGTTGTCGCCCCACCACACGCCGGCCCCTTGCTCTGCGATGACAGGAGGAGAAGGCCCGCCAGCACGGTTGTACACTCTGGTTTTGCCGAGGTTCGCGGCCACGCCCGCCCGCCCGAGTCATGCGTGGTGACCAAGTGGACGTCGTCAAGGAAGGCCGCCATGATCCGCCATGTACTCTCCGGTGCGCAGCGGCTCGTCTGCAGCGGCTAGGGGAAGTATGTAGACTGCTGCCCGTACCACAAGCGCACGAAGGGGACGAGGGCCGGGGCGACGGCATGCAACTTGCACAGAAATGCAGTGCGTGAGATCGTGTCGTAGGCGCGCGGCCGTCCAATATGTCCAATGACACGATGGTCGCAACCGAATCGAGATCGACAGCGGCGCGAAGCATGCCTGAAAGGGCATCCGTGCCAGCCCGCTTCACCACGAACTGGTACGGCCGGGTCACTTCGCCGAATGTGTCGGCAAACGTGCGGGCAAGGCTGCACGACACGAGGCGCCGGAACGTGTCGCCTGTAGCGATGCCACGTACGCCTCCGCCACGCTTGCGTAGCGCGGTGAGGCGAGAGAGGCCCGGGCGCTTGCAACGTCTGCGGGGACGTTAGCAGCAACAAGGAGGTTAGCGGCGCGCGCAAGCAGCTCGAGTGCCTCGGCATCGTCGAGCAAGTCGCCTTGCTGTTGGAGCAATCTATGAAAGGAATTCGGATGGTCTTTGGTCGTATCTGCATGGTCCTTGCATGCTCCTCGAGTGATCTTGCTGCATCGTCATGTGGCATCACTTTCGCGAGCTTTCGTTCACCTGCGACGGGTGACAAGTCCGCGCAACGGAGTACTAAGTAGAGATTAGAAGTAATTATCGAATTCTCTGGAACTTTTCAACAGCATGTAGCTCCGTTGAGCTGGGCCTGTCGACACATGTTTCCGCTATTGCCGGTTCAAGCAATATACGTTAGGTGAACAAAACTTGAAATCGCAACCAGCTGGTATGACAGAACTTCAGTTTGTGGTCCGCATTTCGTTTAGCCTCGCCGGGTTTGGGTTAGATTTGCTGGAAGATGTTCGAGCGTGTCAGACCAGGGTGAAACACGTTGCGCTTTAAGGCATCCCGAAACCGATGTTCATCTTTATTGCAATGCGCTTACATGAACGCATGTCAAGCCTGCCCTGCTTCGTTGAAGCTGGGCCAACACCCCAGCAGCTGCCGGAGAATAGCAACGATCAACGGCGTCATGGTCTCAATTCAAAGCCCAGTGCATGACGACCGCCTCAACGCAGGCGCGTGTGTGTCTGATCTTCTTCCGGGTCTGTCTGCCGAGGGTGTGGGGCTTCGTCGGGTTCTGCATTCAGCTGTAGCTACGGCTGCTACCTGCTCGGCGCACTTAAGCACGCATGCCGGGCATGCGCCGCCACTCTTCGACTGTCGCGCTGGTCCTGCGGCGCGCACGTCCGACCAGGTGCGGGCACATATTTTGGGAAAAGGTGTACCCTGCAAGGGAAAACAACGAATGTCAGAGATGGCCTTTGTGTCTGGTGTGTCAACTTAGCTGGCCATACGCCCAACGCGCAAAGAGGTGAAAAGCATCGGAAAGGTGCGACAATGACTTGGACCTTGGACGGCCTTTGCAAGACGTTGAATTGATTTGCACATATGATTCTCCCGCAGCAACGAGGAGGTACCTTGGAAACCGATACATCATTCGGCGAAAGGGGAGATGATCTGGAGGCTGCAAGGCGGTTCTGTGATGCAGGGAATGGGTGCCAAGAAGACAATTACAGGAGCACGTATCGGATTCGACGTAGCCAGTCGCTCGACGCGCGCCGAGCTGTCTCCATGCTCTCTGAGAAAAGAGCTGGGCTTTGCAACTTGTTTCGGCAATCTTGCAAAGCTGACGATCGTTGGTGCCTCTGGGAGGAGCTCTGTTGGAAAGCCGACGTTGCAAATTTGCAGAGTGCTGAGCACACTCCAACGGCGAAAGGAAAAGGCGAAAGTAAATTCATGAGAGCACCACATTCCGCGTGGCTTGACCGATCCCGGCACCCTCGAAGTGCAACCAAGCAACATTGTCCAGCTCCAGCTTCACGTAGGCCAGGTCATCGTACAAACTTTGCCCGCCCATTGTTCGGAAAGCCTCTACGGCCGCAATGAGGGTGACATACCTGGCTCGCAAAGGGCCGGGGATGTAGCTATATCGGCTCTCTGCTTTAGCTCGCGATGATACTCGATCAAATGCCTGCGAGCCACACTCCACCAAAGAAGCAGAGGACAAGTCCAATTACAGCTTTCAACTCGTCTGCCGGAAGCTTCACGAAAATGTCATAGAAAAACGAGTAGAGGCCTGTCTGTGTTGACATAACAAGCAAGCAGTCCACACTTGTCACATCATCACCGTAGGTTCAATTGGCGGATGACTCTGTTGATGTTTGCGCGGAACTGGAAGCCGGGGCATGCCATTGGGTGGCTGTGTGGCTGGCGTGTGGGCTGTGACATGAATGCAGAATGCAAGCCAGTCGCTGAAGTAGCCCTGCACAACCTGAGTGATCTTCATATGCACCGCCACTCAATCTCAGTTGGCTCAGAGTTTCCTTTTGTGTTACTGTCAGCTCATGACTCAATGCTGTGGCGCCCGACTGCTCGAGTAAATCCAAGAGCTCCCAACCTGGCCGGCAGGCGCCGAATCCAAGAGTGCCCCAAAACAACAAGCCCTGCAGCTGAAGCACCGACACTCGCAGGCACACAGCAATAATAGTTTAAATCGGAAGCTACGCTGATCACTTTCGACCGAGACACACCCAAGGCTTCAATTTCTCCAGGGTCTCTTGCAACTTGGGGTCGTCCTTGGCTTCTGCGGCAGTCGAGATGAAGCGCGATACCTGCATCACATGGCTGCCGGGAACAATTTGGACACACGCAAGAGGCACAAACACCAAGTCCAAAGCGACAGGCCTTGGGATTCCGTGCCAAAGACTCGAAGATGCTGGTCTTCGGCAGCAAGGGCTGCGCGGTAGACATGCCCGCAGTCCGCTCCTAAGTCAGGCACTCCACATACACTAGTCAAAACTGCACATTACGGTTTGAGCCACAAGCTCTGATGCGTACAGTAACAGCGGGTGAAACACGACACGTCTGCTCAGTCTCGTGCAGAGAGCCAATCTCACATCCTGCAACATGCCGCTGCTACCTTCGGATTGTGAGAGCCCTCATTTTCACTTTGCCATCACTTTGGGATGTGCTCCATCCACCAATTAACCCAGATATGGATGCACCTCTGTCCCAGCCAAAGTACACCGGCTTCTGCGCGCTTCCACAGGCGGTCGGCACATGGCGGGCCATTGAATTCACAAATTAGTGGCACCTTTGGTGTCTTGCAAGGCTAGGGAGTTCGTCCACATAGGAAAAGCCTCTCTTATCAATATTCCGGCACCATTTGGTGTGGAAGCCCGGGATGCAGCCATGCCTCAGACCGACCGGACCAGGCAACGAGTGTGCGTGTGAAGAGGTGTGCAGGCTACGGCAAGGATCTTGTCGAAACTCACATGAATGCCTCCTGACATCACTTGGCACGAGGCTCTTGGGCCACCAGCCCAGCTGCTGAACCTGGTCAGGCGTGTGGGTGAGGCCTTCTCCTGCTCTGCAACCTAATTGAAATGCCAGTGCTACAAAGCCGACGTTTTCGCACTGCCAGCAATATGCGACATGGCCATACCGAGGCCCTGTACACGATCACGATGTAACGCGCTGTACAACTGATCTGCCAAAAGCGACTGTTCAGCCAAGTTAGGCCGAGAGTTGTGACAAGGCCACCACCGGCAAGCAGGCACCGAGGCGTTGCGGCAGCGGCTTCGAATTGCCGGTGCTGCTGCGCCGTCGGAGGCTGGAGCTCGATGCGAAGGAGACCTCTGAAGCGACGAAAGATCCGAGACTCTGCGTCTCGTCGTCCTCTGTGCTCGCGGTGCCAATGACCGTAGGCTCTGGCACAAAGTCCGCACAGGAAGGCTCTGGCTCCTCAGCCGGTTGGCATCGGATGGCCATGATCACGACACTGAAGAGCATGCAGGTAGCTCCCAAGAGTTTCAACGGCTTGGGGGCATCGTTCATCAGTACTGTTTGTGCCACATAGCCTGAGATCATGCTTGCGGCTGTGAAAACCGTTGCGCTGACTGCAGCCGGACACCTCGTCGCACCGGCTGCTGGCAGCATAATGGAAAGCAACACCCACGCTGTCATTGCGGAGAGCAGCGCCAGGGCCTGCCACGGTTTCTCAGTCACAAGCTTGAGACCGTCCTCTGATCCGGAATGCAAGCCCAGGGATGGCGGCACAAGGGCCAGCGGAACGCTCAGAAACAGCGACAATACGGTCAGCAGGGAGACAGGGATGTGCGTGGACTTCCGAGCACAGACGAAAGCGCCAGCTTGGAAGCACCCTGCCAACATCGCCAAGCAGTAGCCAAGCGGAGATTGCTTTGACCCCTCAGTGATGCCGAACAGAAACTGTGGCTGCGAGATGAAAAGAGCGCCAGCAACTGAAAGGACCAGGGCAAGGAAATGCAGCATGCTGACTCGCTCCCCCAAGAACATGAGGCCCAAAAGTGCAGCAGCTATGATGTCAATGCTTGTGAGCGCTGCCACGTCGCCCGGAGCGGCTCCCACCAGCACTGCATAAATGGCCAGCATCCAATGCAAGTTCTCGAAGAGAGCTCGCGCAAAGATCCACTTGACATCCGGCAGCTTCGGGCAGCTGACTCCCTGCCACCACAAGACGAGCCCGTTAGCCATCGTTCCGACAGAGCAGCAGATAGCTAACAAGTACCAATACGGCCAATGCATGTCCTCGATGGCTTTGCTGGTCACCATCTCACAGGTCACAGCGAGCCCAGATGCAGCCATGAGCAGAATGCCGATTGCTTCCGTGGAGCAGCCCATGCTTTGCAGCTTTGGAGGATCGATGCCCTCCCTCCTTATATCGCGCTCGAGCGAGTCGAGCCAATCAAGGCTGATGCTGCACAGAGTGGCAGAGCTCGAGGTTCGACAAACCTGGCCCAAGTACATCAACCTTCCTGATTGGGCGCATGTGCCCCGCCTGCAAAGGAGGCTCTCGTACTGGATCTGACAGTCCCGCCTGTCGGGGCGATTGCAGTGACTATAGTCGCACGACACATTGCGGACTCACCGACTGCCATCCGACCGACGTCGCCCTCTCTGTTCCAGCAGCTCCTTGGCAGACTGCCTCATCTTGCATGGGCCGCTGGGCTGCTCAACCATCCGCTGCCAGAGAGGAGCCTCTGGCTCAGCGCACGGACCTGCGCCTGAACACAAATCAAGGAGTCTCCCTGCCTGCTCAGCGAGCGCATGTCTGCCGGCATGCCCGTCTGCCTGCCACACACAGTGCTCAACTTTGACTGGCAGATAGCAGTAGCGCAGCATCCGGCCTCGCTGCCGACGGATTCCGGCCTCTGCAAGACGGCTAGGCCAAGTAAACATTTGCTACGATCTGCATCCTCATCTCATCGCGCCTCCGATACCGGCGCGGGACAAGCCCTCCGGGCTCTTCGGCACTTTGCAGTCTGCTTGCTTGTTCGGCCTCTGCTGCGAGTGGAAGAAGCAAGTTTCACCCAACCACGAACCCACACAAGCTCACAAAAAGGCAACAAGATTTTCGGCACTGTCAAACTCAAGCAACACTGCTTTCCGAGTGCAGAACGACTCTGAGAGCTTTGCTTGATAGCCTGCTTCACGAGCACACTCGCTCTCTCAGCACAGCAGCGAAGGCACGGAGGGAGTCAGAAGGAATGTAGGACCTGAAGAAAGGCCCGTGGGGGATCTCACCGGCAGTCAAAGCACCTCGTTGTGCTTGTAGCTGCGCTTGGAGTCTGGCCTTCCTCGGCTTGGAAGTGTCTTCGGAGGTTCCCGGCTAGTGCGGAGAACGCGGAAAGTGCAACATTCGAGGTGGCTGGACTTGGCAATGCGCCGATCGCATGCGGCAGGTGGCACCGCCTGCGTCGAAAGGTCGGAAACAACCGGCCTACAATGTCGCAATGCTCCAGAACGCAGGAAGTTGAAGTTGAAAGAAGTTACAAGTAGCATCCTCTGACGCTGCCATGCTGTGTCCAAGCCTTCGGCCCAGCTGCAGCATCCGGTGCATCTGCCAAGAGCTCCTCTTCGAGTTTCTTGCTGCCATCTCAGACTTCGGAGCCTCTAAGCTTCCCCATCTTCCCCTCTCCTCGCTCAAGGCAGGCGTCTCTGCCTTTCAGTAACTGCCCCGACAGTGCCTGGGAAACTCCTGGAGAGCTGCTGAGAATGCGACACTCTTCTGCGAGCGCCTCACAGGAACTATTGGGTGGGCTCTGGACTGTGACTGGCTCTCACCCGTCAAACTCGGCAACGCCTTTGCTTGGTTCGGTTGGGGCCAGAGCTGCCTGCGTCGAGGACTACTTGATGCGAGAGCACGGGGGAATGCCTTACAGTACCCGCCTTGGGAAACCAAGCTCTCCAACGCCTCGTCGGGACTCACTACACACTCGAGTGGACAGGATGTTCAGGGTCTCAGCTTCCAGAACTCGCCTGTACTCGAGCCCTCTGGTCGGTGAGCTCGTCCCGACTCTCTTTGAGCTCGGTCTCCAAACGGAATGAGCGTTGGCGCTCTATGGCCGCAGCCTGCAAAGAAATGTGAGGCAAAGAGACGCAAAGCGATGCAAAGTGGAGCCTCGCCTCCTCGCAAGCAACGACCTCATGTCGCAGGGCCTCCAAGAGCAAGCGGGGAAAGAATCTATAGCGAGTCTAGCGAGTCTAGCGGCTAGATATACGGACACAGATGTGACCTCTGCAGTCGCATTGGCGGAAGCGATCTGCCGCAGGAGCTCTGACTGGGCCTGGGCTCCATGCATCCAAGCCCCGACAATGCGACGATTCGTAGCTACTACAGTAGTACTTCCCAAGCGAAATCAAGTCCTCGTACTCAGATCCTCGCGGCATCATTTGAAGCTCTTGGTGTGACTTTGCGATCGCGATCCTGAACGTCGACACATGCCTACAGTTCTCAAGCCTTCACCTGGCTTCAACGCACGTGCAACTAGATCGAACCAGACTAGTAATCAGTTGCGATTTAGTCCCCCGCTGCCACCCTCCATAAAGATCAGAACATGCGCACCCGTCCCTGTCACCCGAAAGTCACGAGTTCCCTTCGGTTTCAAGGCTTCCCTCCTCCTCGGCACGACGCAGGCGCTCCTGCCAGGGAGTGCCAAGCGCGTGTTGAGAAACTGTCGGGATTCCGTTTGTGGTGGCGGTACGTCGAGTCGAGGCTCGGGAGTCTTGGCTGCCTTCGGTGCTTGCTATCACAAACCCAGGTTCGCAGATTTTCTCCATCGCACCAGCGCGACTCTCATGTGAAACCGATGCAACTGCTGCACAAAATACCTGAGGGATCGCATATGTGTGGATTTGTTTGGGGAGCTCGCACTCAGCACGATGCAGTTTAACGTGGCACCAGCATCTCTGTCCGAAATTACCCAGACTACAAGTACTAGTTGGTGCTGTTCACATTGCGTTCTGCTTAGGCGAAATTCGCGCCGCTGCTCGGTGAAGGGAAGAAGCTCTGAGGTGCACCTCACAGCGGCACTGATCCGACCCGCCGCCCAGACTATCTATGAAGAGTTTGGGATGGCCCCATGAGGGCAAGCACTGCCTAACCACAATTAGTAAAGACCTTGAATGGAACATCTTGAGAAGCTGAGCATAGCGCCGACCGAACGGGCGCTCTGTGGCGTGGGCTTCTTCTCTGACTGTGGCGTAAAGTCCTTTTCCGCCGGAGGTTCCTGGATGAAGGGCTCCTCCGTCGGCATGTCCACAGAGTGACGGGGCACCGCCGACTTGAAGTCTACATCGCTGGTCGGCGCTGGGAAGAAGCTCTGAGGATTGCCTGATGCGTCTCGAAGCAGGCAAGGCTCCGGCGAAGTCAGCAGAAAGATTCTCAGCCCTGGACCAGCCGCTGCACCCCCGGCGGACTGCGGCACAGCCGATGCAGCCGGTGCGGCCGTGTCAAGGTGTGCAAACCTGAGATATCTCCATGGCTGCCATGACTCATTACTCGGGGCAGCACCACTAAGAAAAATCATCTGACCGGACACTTCCTAAAACAGCTTCGCAAATGCAGCGTCCTTTGTCCACATGGGCGGTCTTCGCGCAAATGCTGCACATCATGTGGCGCTTTAGCACTCGGAGACCTCGACTCGACCGGAGTCTCATGAAATATGTCCCTGCATGAGCCCTGGAAAGAGCCTCCGCACTGATGCCAAAGGGGTGAAACGACTTCAAAGGAGGAGGCAATCAGAGTTGAAAAAAAAGCGCTGTCACCACTGAAGCACAATACGGAATGACTCCATCCGCTGTTCCTGCAGTTGCTTCATCGCTTCGTTCACTTCCGAAAATGGTCTGATCTGGGAGGTTGCCCATGCCGAAGACTGGCAGAAAAAATCTAGGTTGTTGTACACCAGATGGAGCATCTCTTTCGTGCGCCGTCTGCCGCAGGCAATGGAGCCCACAACCTTTCTTGCACTGAAGATGAGGGGGTGCCAGCTTGTCTGAAGCTGTGCAGCAGAAGCGAAAGGAATACCTACCCGGACAAAAGTCCCGTTGATCTTCAGGAGCGCCATCAGCTGGTTAAGTCCCGTGTTCACAGGAGACGTGTCGAAGAAGACATCGATGCTGTTCTCCGCCCTCATCATCGAATGCGAACTCCCGGTGTCCACAAACTCATCCGCACCCACCTCTAGCGCCGCCTCACGCTTCCCTGCGCTCGCACTGAAGACAGTGACCTTTGCACCCATCTTCTTTGCCAGCTGCGTTCCCAGTGTGCCGAGCCCGCCGAAGCTACCAATGCCTACGCTAGATCCGGGCTTCACCCACGTGCACAGTGCCTCGTACATGGCAGCACCTGCCCCCATCAAAGGGCACGCAAGTTCTGGTGACAGGCTCGGGGCGATTAAGAATGCAAAAGCCTCCTCGACCCGCAGGATCTTTGCGAAGCAGCCACCTTCGTTGCTGGGAGCCTTGCCGAAAGGGCCTGCAGAGCTGCCGAGGAAAGTGCCTTGGTACCCGGTTTCGCAGAGATTCTCCATGCCCTCGCCGCAGGCATCGCAAAGTCTGCAGGAATCCCGAATCCAGCCAACTCCAACCCTGTCACCCACTCTCAGGCTTTGAACTTTGCTTCCAAGCTTTCGGACCATTCCATAACCCTCGTGGCCAAGGACAAGTGGGAAGTCAGAGACTCCCCAGTCATTGTCACGCATGTGTAAATCGGCTCGGCTAAGGCCACAATGGCTCATCTCCACCTCCACCTGGGTTTCCGTCAGTGGTGGTAGGAGAATGCTTTGGAGCTCCATGGCCTGTCCCTCACCTTTGATGACGTAGGCCTCCGTCGGCAGAGGCGCGGCTTCATCCTGCTCCTCTGCCATCGCACTAAACCCTGTGCCCTAAGCTCGCGAGAGTAGTTCTGCCCTTCGGGCCGAAAGACACTTTTGCACGATAAGGTTGTCTGCGGCCGCGTCTGCCAAAACAGAAGCTCTGGTTTTGGTGTGCCGAGCCCGTGGCGCCATGGAAACTCCAGGGTTCATGACTGGCACCTCAGCTCTGCTGTCGCATGCAGTGAATGCCTCCCTCCTCACGGTCGCAAGTTAGTCCCAGTTAGTCCCAGGCCGATTTCACTTCGGAAGCAGCTGGGCCCATGCTCGCCATAAACTGAAGCTTGTTGGAATACGCGGAAAGGGACCTTAAATGTGTGCTTTGCCCCGACTCATAACAGGGTGGCAAGTTTTGGGCATCTTCCACAACTCGTTTTGCAAAACTCCATGCTCAATTTGTCTTCTGTCTTGACCGAAGAACACTGAGTTGTAGGTCATCTCAGTGATCTCCTCTGCGGCGGACCACACCACGTAGATCTGGCTGCAGCTCTTGTGTTACTAGTGGGGCCAGTCAGTGCGGTACGCCCTGACAATTGAACAGGTCGGTGCCGCCAAATACGCATGAAGCAACGCGGCCACTGTCGTCCACATGAACACGAAGCTCTCCTGTGCCCCGTTCTTTGATCATGCCCGCTCCAAATGCATAATTGCCTACACCCACGGCTGACGGTATGAAACGACGTTTCTGAGTCTCACAATAGTGAGGATTTTCAGCCAGGAACCCAATGCATCGGTCAACGGCCTTGGAAATTACAGAAATGCCGCTTTTGAAGGAGTGCCGCCGACAAAAGGCCATCGCGATAACTGCAACTTCAGTACGACTGGGCTTGGGATCCAATTCCAAAGGTCCACCTTCCACAGAGCTTCCGCGGAGCTACTGCGCACGTCCCCGATGATGATGATGATGATCATGATTCTGATGATGATGATGATGATGATGATGATGATGGGCTACGGGCTACTTAACAAGGTCCACTCTTTGGGGGGTTTGACGGGCCTTTTACGGTTTTGTGCAGTGGGCCGTCACCAGCACCTATACCCCTGGAGCAGGAAGCATCCTATAGACGAAAAAGCCAAGCTGTTCGTAATGCCTGATAGCACCGGATGCAAGAACATGATCGCCGAAAGATCTGCAGCCTCGGAACTCTTTGCTGCTACATGCCCGAAAGTTTGCTCAATACGGTCGCAAGCGGGCTCCGTGAAACCGCAGACGAACACAGAGCCAAGGCGTTGGACTTCATCTTCGACCACACTGTCACAAACCTCGCCAGGAACTAAACAGTTGGACATGTGGAACTCGCGGATGTCTGCCAAATCTAGAGTTTCCCTCGTCTTGTGCTTTTCGCGAAGCTCTGGTGGGCTCTGCCCTCACTTTGACATGAAAAAAGCCGTGTCTCGTGGCCTGCCCAGAGAGCAGCAGCCAGGCCGACACAGAAATGCCGACCGGGAAGCTGATGACCAGGTACCAGAAAAGCGTCCTGCGCGTTATTGCATATGCTACACATAAGCTTGCTGCATGAGAGGCTCTGCATGTCTTCGTAGCTACTCCTCCATGGGAGCCAAGGGTAAGTAGGCCCAAGCAAAATACTTGAGCCCCAGAGTCTAGGGAACGGGTCGCAAGGCTCAGGATTTCATCGCCCAACTCCAGATAGGGTCGGGCCTCAGCAAGTGGTCGACGTGGTAGAGGACACCTACACCTGCGGCGATCACCACAGGCATCCCCGCCTCAGTCCGTCGATCGAGACGAGGTGTCTGCGGACATGAAATGCGAAGTGCTGTTTCATCTTTCATCCCGTTTGTGCGGTCGAGTGACAAGCGCCCAGGAGGCGCAAATCACTTGGATTTCTGGGGACACCTGCATCCGTTTGTGAAACATAGCACAGTAGATCGAAGTTCGAAAAGCCAGGTGTGCAATACAACCTCAAATTGATCCTCTGGGGTGAGATAGCAGGCGGGTCGTCGGACAATCTCTCCAGCTTTCCACCTTCAGGCCCATAAGTGACAAAGTCTCCGCAGAAGAGCATAGGGAGAGAATGGTGATCCTTGGCAAAGCACCGCATCAAGGAATGACTGGCCTGATGCAAGCGACACAGGCTGCTTCTCTGATTCGGCGACGTGGTCCTCTCCACGTCTATGGAACCGCTTACAGTCAAAGCCATTCGAACCTCTCTCGGTGTCTGTTGATCCCTTTCGAGGAAGCCCCCAAACATCGTGCAACCAAGTAGGAACTTAACAAGCTGACGGGCTGACGGCTCACGTCTGCGGGCTACGCTAGGCAAAAGAGAGCAGTGGGTCACATCCAAGGAGCCCACTGGCCCGGAAGTCACTCCGAGTCGCCACCTCCTGGCCCCACCTGCCTCACTGAACGGTATGCCGGACGTGCAACCGCGTAACTGCACCAGCAGCGAGAGGAAGCAGGTAGCCTCCAGATTCAGATGATGATGCACATTCACGTTGAGCCAGGGGAGCAAAACCCGCTACGGAAGTCACTGTCTTGACTTTGTCGACCCGGGCGGGTCCGAAAGTTGGACCCTGGTCCCCTGGCCCCCTGGCCTCCACCCCCACGGTGAGGGTGCAGCACCCGAAGCAGCTGTGCCTTGGCTCCGGAAGTAGGGAGGAAGGGCACAGCAGATCCTCTCGAAGCAGGTCCCGCTTGCCGGTTCCAATCAAGTTGCGCCGGCCGCACCTCAAACAGCAAGCAGGGGCGCGATAGCGAGCGAGAGAGAGAGATATAGAGAGAGAGAGAGAGAGATCGAGAGATAGAGAGATAGAGAGACAGAGAGACAGAGAGACAGAGAGATAGCGGGAGCGGGAGCAAAAAAGCTTGCATGACGATGGGCTCTAAGAAAGCGCACCTGCAAGAGTAGAGAGTACACTGATAGCTGGCTTGGTTGGGGCAAGCTGCCTTCCACATCTCGCCGACTTCGTTGGCGACCTGATCGAGGGCAAGCATCTACTTGGGGCCACTTTCCGTTCATGCTTTCACTGGAGTCTGCGAGTTTGACTCTTCATGCAGGACCTAGCTGAGTAGCTCTTTGCAGCTATTTTGACTCTGGCTAGTGGTCGTAGCTGCAGTTCTGTGAAGCCTGGCTGTTCCTCACGCTATTCGGTCGTCCTTGCCGATTCCCGTGCCCAGATCCCGCTCTTCCCACCGGGACTATCAGAGCCGGCCTGCTCGTCCAGGTCAGGGCTTTGCCAGGCCCGTGGGGGCTCAGCGCCTCCCTCTTGAGCCGATCCGTTGCGTGTAGTAGCGTGAAAGGAATGTTCTTTGTCACATGTCTCTCTCTCCAATGTGGAACACATATCCAGATCCACAGAGTGTTTGCTGTGTTGCGACACGATTGACAGTCCCATGTCCTAGTGAAGCCAGCAAGAGGGCTTCCCTCAATCCATGCCCTGACTTTTGTCAAATCACCGTACATCTCACGTCAAACCTCAGCGCTGCATGCGAAATCGAAAGCCCTGCATCACAATCAGCAGCCTAACCCAAACCCAAGAACCATCGCTAACCAATCAAGCCCCGCACCCTCAAACCCAACCCGCAAAGCCTTAACCCGGAAACACAATAAACCCCTGAACCCTAAACCCTAAACCCCTAAACCTTAAACCCCTAGACTACCCCACCCCCCCGGGCCTCGAGGCCCCGAAGGCGCGCCGCCTCCGAATTATCATATCTTCGACTTCAGAGCTTGGCGGAATGGGCTTTTCGGTTTCAGCTGCTTTAAGGTTGTGGGTTTAGGGCTTTTATCGGGTTTGGGGTTCAGACATTGCAGTCCAGGGCTTCGCGTTTGGGGTTTGGGGTTGCAGACCACCATGGGGCTTGGGTTTAAGGTTCAGGCTCGCAAGGTTTGGGACTACGGGGCCTGGGTTTACAGGGCACAAAGGTTTGGGCTTTTTCGAACGGCCGGAACTACCTTGAAACAGGAGTGGTCATGCTGCCTCCTCATTTGCCATTGCGGCTACTATGTGGAATCATACGGGGCCTGGCTGCTGTATTCCATCGAACAAGCATGAAGTCTCAGGGTCGTGGCCTGTAGGTGGACATGTTCGACTCACAACGAAGCCGGTTTGAGTCAAGGAGAAAGATGTAGCCAAGGTAGCCTCCTGTGAGTTTTTCTGAAACCTAAACCCGAAAGCGAAGTTAGTCTGCGTCCGCCTTGGCCACGGCCAGTTCTGTTCTCACTCTCCCAAACCTGACACCTGTTTCAAGAGTTCTTCGCTAAACCCTAAGCCCGGAACCCTCAACCCCTAAACCCTAAACCCTAAAGCCTAAACCCCTAAGCCCTAAACCCCTAAAACCCCCAAGGTAAAAGCCAGAAAGTCGGAATATGATTTCCTAACCCGTCTATGGTAAATTATAAGGTATCCTACCACGAAACCATATTCCAACTTTCTGGAGTCCCCCGTAAGCCCTAAACCCCTAAACCCTAAGCCCTAAAGCCCTAAACTCTAAACCCCTAAACCCTAAGCCCTAAAGCCCTAAACTCTAAACCCCTAAACCCTAAGCCCTAAAGCCCTAAACTCTAAACCCCTAAACCCTAAGCCCTAAAGCCCTAAACTCTAAACCCCTAAACCCTAAGCCCTAAAGCCCTAAACTCTAAACCCTAAGCCCTAAAGCCCTAAACTCTAAGCCCCTAAACCCCCCTTAGACCCTAAGGTGGAAGGCGTTCGGCAAAATCTCGGCCTGCCGGGCCATTTCGGCCTCCAGGCCTTCGGACCTCAGCCGAGCCTGCAGCGGCCGAAGCGGGGCTTTCCTTCCTTCGCTTCTTTGGGAGGTTTCATAATTCATACTATATAGTTCGTACTATTTTTCTTATGAGTATTGTATTAGGAATAACCTTAGTTTAGGGTTGAGGGTTTTTCTTGCAGCCATGGGATTCAGTGATTTTTTCATAGGAATAAAGTAGTAGACGACCTAACAGTTTATACAATCATAGGTATAGCAATATAGCAATAATGGCAATGACAATAACGAGCATAAACACTAGTCGTAGTAATAACAAAAATCATCATAGGAATACTCATAACATGCATAATCATCATCATTACCATTATGGTGCGCTGCTGCGGTCTTGTAGCGTGCCCGTAATCCATTCAAGCTTTGGGGTTTGGAGCTCGATGTGGCTATTTTCCATCTCTTTCTGCCTGTCACGGTTTCGGCTGGTTTGAGGCTTCGGGTAGCGATGATCTGCGGCTTACGGCTCGCGGAGATGTGCCTCCTCGAGCTCTTCCTCACGTCGCCTGATCAACTCCCGACCTCAAACGCGACGAGAAGCACAACTCAAGACATCTACTGTTCGCTTAGAATGGCTGGGTTGCCTTTGCCTCTATCCTTTCGGCTAATGCAGTGGTGTTGGCCATGCACTTCCAAAGGAGCAACAGCACCATATGATTCTGACTTCCGATTCGCTCTTATCCAGGGCGCATTCATCCTGCCCAATTTCACACTTGAACAGGGATGAAGAGGGTAGGTAACTCCGTGTAGCCAGGCTGTCAACCCTTTCCTGTGATGATACCAGCATGCCTTCCGACCCAATGCTTGGTTACTCTTCATTCAGCCGCCTTGTGCAACCCAGTCCTAGGTGTCTTCGCAGTTTCGAAATGCACCCACTACCCAGCTCTCCCAGGCAGCAAACTCTGACACTCGGACTGGAATGAAAGGGCCGATCTTAGTTTTTCACATGACACGCTGCGATATACCGCTACCGATCCGAAACCCTACACCACACACGCCGGGAGCCCGTCTTGCCACCTGGCGCTGGCCGGCCACCTGCAGGGCGCTGAGAGCTGCCGCCTCAGCGGCCTGCAGCTTGGCGAATGCGGGCGACCCCACGCCCCCTCGCAGGAACATCTCCGATGCTTCTCGCCAACGCCATGGCCCATGAATTCTCGAAAAAAACCGGCAATTGGCGTCGAACATGTGCAGCGATGTTTCGAGGTGCAATTTGCAAGAGCCTATCCATGCACCTGAGAATATTTTTAGCAGCCCTTATCTCCCTGACGAAACCAGTGCGACGCTCGTAGCACCGTTGCACTGGCACCGGGCCCTCGAATCAACCAGACCAAATCCTCCGAAGCTGCAAAGCCGGAGTAGCCTCCGCAGAGACTCGAGCGTTTTCGGCCTGAGCTCAGCGAACAAACCCCTTCCAGGCTGAAGCCCAGCGAGCGGCGCTTGATGCTTGGAAGTGGTCTTGAACCAACCGGGTTTCTGCTCCCACGTGGCACTGTGAGGCCCAGGCGCTTGTGACGCGCTCACTCTGCAGCTTCGCCTTTCTGGCACTGGCCGCTCTGCACCCTCGATGTCACTGAGACTGGCATCCGGGCCTGCTTGTGGGCTTCAGCTGCCTCGTCCTGGAGCCGATGCCTACGGAAGCAATCGGAGGACACGAGGGGGCTCTGAGCTCTGATCCCATCTGCCTCTGCTGCTCCAGGCCCTGTGCAACGTGCCACGTCCTGACCACGGCAGGAACTGTGGAGAAAGAACTCTTAACTTTGTCAGGTCTCAACCGTGTTTGGCCTGCGCAAAAGGTGCTGCAGCTTCGCGGCCTGCAAGCGCTTAGATTGGGCCTCCTCTGACCCTCCATTCCCGCTTTAAAGTGTTCCTCAGCCATTTTCACACATCTCCGGGCCTCTTCGTCTCCGCGCAGGGCTGCCTGCACTAGCGCTGAAAGCTGGCAGAGCCTCTCCAAAGAAAGGCTGAAGACTGTCTTTCTGCCCATGCGAAGAAGCAGATGAGTATCTCATGCAAGCCCCAACATAGTCGGCGCACCCATCATCTTCCAGGTCATCCGCATCGTAGCTCGGTGCCTGTGAGGCCACGAAAAAACGAAAGCGCTTGAAAGACTAAGAAGTCCGGTGCAGAACACGGCCGCGGCCGTGCCTCGGAAGCGAAGCCCACGGTGTGTCTCCTGTTTTAGGGAAGCAGCTCTTGCCCCGACGCTTCGAAAGAAAAAGCTTCGCTTGGCATCGTGGCACCTGCGGAGTGGAGAAGCCGAGCTCCACTGCCGCGGCGAGTCTGACCGCCATCCCTGGCACAGGAGGCAACAGTATATGAATACGCTGCACCCAAAGGGCCGGGATCCTTCGCAGGCGAGGATGAACGGCTGGCGGGCTCCTGCACGCTGAAGATGAGGAAAATGCCCGGAGCTCGTAGATTCACACAACCGCGGTCGGCCTCCTCCTGGTCTTCGTTAGTGGCACCGGAGAAAAGCTGCTCAAGCTTCTCGACATGCCTTGGAGCACACCATAACTTCCCTCTTGCTTCTAGACTTCCAGCTCAGCTCTCCAAAACCACCGGGGCTGCCACCACGGGCCGGGCCCCAGCTGCGCTGCCTCGGAGGATCACATGGGGGCTTTGCTGCGCGAGTGATTTCCACTGCTGTCGAGGTTCCAGGGTGTCCGCGACCTCATCCGTGAAGCCTCGGCCGGGCTCAGCTGGGGACACCAAACTTGCCGCACGCTTCACCAGGACGCTCACCAGCAACGTCTCGAAGAGAGCTTTCTGATACCATGTTGTCGGAGTCGGCGAAGTCACCTGGCTGCTTTGGCGGTTGCTTGTGGCAGCACGCTCCATCTGCCAGAGGCATCTACTGCAACCTTTACCAGGCTTCATGATGTTCTTGGTCGACTTGTCCAGGGTTTCGAGTCCAGAGCGAACTCTCCAATCGGTGTTTGAACAATTTGAAAGGTGACTTTTCAATGGGACCAGCTGCGGCATCCAAATGCCTTGCTCGTGACACTTGATGAGTCGGCAATCAAGGGTCACGGTGTTGGCTCACTTGCGACAGCCTGCAACCAACATCATTAGGCACTGTGCGGCGGGCCCTTTCATTTATGTACCTGCCTCGTGGACTTCGTCTTGCTATTGAGGGCCTGCTCTTCTCTGCCTATCTTCCAGCGCGTCTCTTGTCCTTCTCAAACCTGACACCCCTTAAGGCTTCTAATTATTCTGCTCAATTCTCCTTTCGTCGAACTAGACCACAGGCCCTACCATAATGGGAAGAACATGGCCCGGGTCGCCTTGAGCCCTGAGCCCTATCCCACCCAAACAAGCCGCGGTCCGCGAAGTACGTCTTGGAGCCGGGGAATCTCCTGCTTCGAGGCTCGGTTCTGAAGGAACCTGCCTTTTTTCTTCAGCTGACTTTCAACTGTATACACTAGCTTATATATGCTGCTACAAAACTTTGTTAGTGTAAACAGCTTTGTGTGTTTGCATCATGTTGTTCTATCTTTCAGTACAATATATATATATATATAATGGTATGCTACATCGTATTCTAACATTAGTAGTGCACCTTATTGCATTATTTTACAGTATAGTACCTTATTGCACGTTGTAGCACGTTATAATACAATACCGTACAATATGATGCACTATGTTACACGGTATCACATTCTATCATATTATAACATATTATACTGCACTATACTATTTCATATTGTATTCTATAGACGAGTGTGCATGTATGTGTATGCGTGTGTGTATGGACGTATGTACATACGGAGGTAGATATGTGTGTATGTGTTTATGTATGTGTGTATGTATGCACGCATGTATGCATGCATGCATGGATGGATGGATGGATGGATTCATGCATGCATGTATGTAATGTATGCATGCATGCATGTATGGATGTACGCATGTATGGATGCATGTATGTATGTGCGTGTGTATTTATGCATGCATGCATGTATGGATGCATGTGTTTGCATGTGCATATATATATATATATATATATATATATATATATATATATTATATATATATATATATATATGTATCTGTATATGTATATATACACACCAATAAATATCCATCTAATACATCCTGATTTATACCTACATACATACACACATACATACATACATGCATACATACATATCAAAAATCTAAAAACATCTGTATACATATCTATCATTTTATTCATTTTGCACCTGTCGGTTTGCCCGTCTGGTGCTTGATACGTCGAAAATTACACGACCACAGCTTATCCTGCTGCACCGATGTTAAAGTGAAGCGCAAGCAAGCCCCTAGGCACCTTTTTCCGCTTTGGGCTAGGTCGTTGACACTGTCAAGTGTCGATCCGAATGCACGGTGGCGGCAATCTCGGGGGTGGACGGGGATCGCACCGTGGCCTGCCGACAGACATGCACATTTGGCACTGGCAAGCGGCTGTTGCAACCACCGATGAACAGAGGCTGCTTCCGTGCAAGTTCAAGTTTTCTACACAATGCCTCAAAAACGGCCGATTTACCCTCGCCAGCAATGCTGATGATGGTGTCCGCATCCCCGCCTAACACTGGCAGCAACAAACAAAGTTGTACAGCACCGCGCTCGAGAGCGAGATCCAGTCTTTCTTCCAGGACACAAACAGGGAACGGAGCCGAGGAAAACTGCATCAGGTCCGGCAGCTGCGTTGTAAACGCTCCTGTTTCTAAATTGGCAACTTTTCACCAACAGAGGCTGCCGTGCACTTCGCGTGGGAAAGCGTCTGGGCACCTCCGTGCTTCTGCGCGTACGCGTGCTGCGCGTAGTAGACTGCCATGGCCGCCCCTCGGCTCGGCCACTCCTGGCACCACATGGCACCACATCCGCAGAGAAAAACGGTCCGAAACTCCCACCCGTGCCAGCCGCCCGCCCCCAATCCACGAGCCCATCCTGGTAGTAGGTCGCGCCGACTTTCAGCGAATCCTCGAATTGAAGGATTCCCCAGGTCTCTGGTCGATGCATCTGGATGGCGTACCTGAGCAGAGACGGGTTCCGGCAGCACTGGACCCTTCCTATCCCTTCCTTCAGAGTCGAGTCCCGGGCTGAGGTGACCAGACCCAATTGTCCTCATGCGCTGTTCCCGGTTCGGGACAGGACTGGCAAGAGGGATGCTTTTCGTAGCGGCCACTGTCAGGATTCACCTGTCCAGGCTCAAGCAGTCAACCAAGGCTCCATCAACGACCAGAAAATGTCAAGCCTTCAGGCCCCACTGGACACGGCTGAAGCTTGCACGCCAGAAGTCGCCAGCAAGGGGAGGCGTTCGAGCGCCTTTCAGCAGAAAAGCTTCAGCATTGAACAGAGCTGCCACTCTTCCTGAACGGTTTCAAAAGAACCCGGCCTGTCCGCTCGGCTAAGCTGGCGAGGGGCAGTGCAATCTCGACTGTCCAGTACTCACCCTGATTCTTCACATCCGCAAGCGCACTCTGATGGGGTCAACACTGCGAGAAGGGCTGTTTCAAGGGCGCCGGCTCTTCTCTGCGGATTGTTCAGCGACCCCGAAGGCTGCACGTTGCTTGCGCAGCGAAGCGGAGGCTCCATCGTCCAGCCCTTGTCGCCAAGAACCCGAGTGGAGTTCTCCTGAGCCAAAAACTCTTTCAGCTTATGGACGCTTTGAGTATTCATTGGATGGACCCCACCGAGAAAACCACGAAAGCTGGTACAAAAACTGAACATGATATAATCAAATCCATATCAACAGGCTGGATGCCAGAATTAAAGAAATATTATGGGAACCAACATGAAAAGCTCAGAAACAAACGGGAGGCTAAAGAGAACATTTGGAACAACATCAAGTCCCAGGGGTGCAACGCTTGCTTTTTTGTGTTTCCGTCCCGTGCCCGTGATTATCCCATTGGGCCGGGGTCTGTTTCCGACGTGTCCTTATGGTCGTCCATTGATTGAACTGAAGCTTCAGTGTTGTTTCCCATCATTTCGCATGTGTGTACCATTGCTTGTTCCATTTGGTTTTTGGAGTGTGTCCCATCTAGTTCCCGGAACTCCTGATTATTTGCCCATGCATATTCCATCTTTCTTCCATCTACTGGGCCTGAGGAGAAATCAGACACCGAACACGGTGGACAAATGAGAAAACCAGGAACGTTGTATTCAAAAATCAGACGAATCAGAGGCATCCACGCAATAAGAAACCCTGTTGGCAACATAGATGCCTGCCCCCAGAGTTCACTGTCCAGCCAGAGGCCACATAAGTTTCCGAGCGTAGCTGCAGGCAAAAGCCTTCGTTTCTCATTACGCTAGCATTTTTTCTGCATGTTGCTTGATTACGCTACCGGTACACCATCTTGAGATTATTACTGCCGCGGCACGTATCCACCGTCGCCGTAAGGTTTGTTGAGGCATAACTCCCAGGTCGTGTTGAAAGCATTCATCTCAAATTCCTTGTAGAAGTGAGTCGTGGCCTGGGACCAGGGGACATGGAACGGTCATCAAAAGGAGCTCTTCGTCCAGATGAGCCCAGGTCACATTCGCATCCACGAAGACCTCGAAATCGTTGTCCTGCAGGGACGAAGGAGCGGAAGTGTTCACTGAGAACCCCGGAAAACTCCACTGCAAACAAATTCGTTCCTGGAAAATCACGCTGTCATGCGCAGTCAGAGTGGCCCAGGGCTGAGGCTCTTGAAGCTCGGCGCCCACGTAAAGAAACCTCTGACAAGGAAAAAGTCCGAAGCTTCTGCTGTTCGCTTTTGCGGCTAGTTCCAGGCTTCTGGCCGAGTGCACCTACAATTGTGCTTGATGCCAACGAGACCAGGCTGATGACAAGGCTGCTACAGACGCCTACAGTGTCCTCAATGCGGGATGGAAACTGTCAAAGGCTATGAGTCCGCGTGGCCTACAGTACAGACTCGGGCTTGAAATTTGTGAATGTTGTGATTAATTTAGGAAGAACTGCTAAGCATCGCAGACCCGGCGACATCTGCATCCGAGACATCCGACTACTCGACCTGGCCTTTCATCCCAACGCATCTTCGCGCGGGTGCGAAGGCGTGGCTTGGTGTGAGTGGAAATGTCTACGAAGTCCTGGCTGCAGGGACACATGGACACAAAAAGAAGAAAGGTGGGGCGCACGAGTCACCCCCCCCGGTCAGTCACCTTGGTCCAGGCGACTTCCTCCCAGACCGCCTTGGTGAGGTCCCCATCGAGGCTCTTCGGGGACAGCTCCGATGTTTTGTACACCACGTACCTCAAGGAGAGCCGAGCCCCCCCCCCCCTCCCTATGATTTTAAAAACAGAGACTTTGTGTGCTCGTTTTTTTGCTCCTGGCCGGGCTGCTGCTCCGGATAGACCTCGGCGTAGCTGCAGGCCGCGTCCTGGGCCGCGTCGTGGGCCGCTTCGGCGTGGCCTCGGTTCTGACGAACTCCGCTGGAAGCTCAACAAAAGCGCTAGGAGCGGCTCTTTGCTCCTTGTGCCTTCCAGGGTTACCACCCGAGGAGCTCTTGAAGGAGGTGCCAGCGACCGAAGCGCAAGCGGCCAAAGCCAGGCACCGCCGCATGGCGCTGATTCGCTGATTGATTGGGCGCAAGTCGTGTCAATTTGGCAACTGCTGGCTTGCTGCGCCATGCTTTCTCAGATGCCAGCTGCGAAGCATATGATGCATGCATATGATGCATGCATTTGCATGCCAAGGCTAAGGCAGAAAGCTGATCGAGCCGACAAGGACGGGCTGCATGACTGGGGAAGTATGTGCTCTGCGGGTGACAATGCTCAACGGCGAGGCCTCGGGGTTCTCGTGATGCATCAGGTGGGTGTCCTTTCAAGTTTAGCAACGACCTCGCTTTCACGGCAAAGGCTTATCCGGCTTCGGCATGCCTACAGTGGCGTCCTCCGGGAGATCCATCGATGCACACGCGAGAGCCATTGACGAATAGAGGCGGTGCGAGAACGCACTTGGACTTCGGGAGACAAAACCAATGTCTGGCTTGCTGGTTTGCCGTTCATGCTGCCATGCTACAGTGCCGCAATGTCTGTCATGCAAGATCATGCAAGGCTGTACTACTCCAACGAGGCCTTAGCCCGCAACAAGAATGAACGGCTGCATGATCATGTTGTTAAGCAGTCACCGAGGGAAGAATGCAAACATGGGCATCATTGCGTTGCCATTGTCGCTGTCATTTAAAAATTGCAGCTGCTCTCGTCCCATCGTTTGCTTTACTGTAAGCAGGCTTTCCCGGTCCGCGGCTCCTGCGTGCTCCTCCGAAGAGGCTTCCTTCCCTGCCTAGTTCGGAGTTTGGCGACATCGAAGATGCTTCGTGTTTTGGGGGGGCGCAGGAGCTGGTCCGGCGGTGCCAATGGTACCTCAGGTTGGTGCATGTTGGACTCATCTGGGGTCTTGGAAACCTCAGGGGCGCTCGTGGAATGGCTCTTGGGCATGTAGGGCTTGGACTGTTAGGTGTTGTTTTACTGTTTGGTGTCCAGGCTGACAGATTTCTGTTGCTGCTGTCGTTGTTTTCGCAGCTGCTGAGCTTGTTGGTAGTGTTCCTCTTCGTCTGCTTGACGGTCCCAAACGTGCTGAGAAGGGTTTGCAGGGATTCGTTTTAGATGGTTCTAGACGATATTGTGCTTGAGCTGGGCACCCTCACACAGCTCGTTCTGCTGCCACTGGGAGTGATGCTTGCACACTGCCCTTAGTGCTGCCTAATGCGACTACTTAGTGACTACTGAAGCTACTCTTGCTAGTACATCTTGTCGTTGCTGCTGTTTCATGTCGCTGGGGTGGGAGCGGCACACCAAGCGTGAAAGAAGAGTCAGCAAGCAGGGAGCAGGGAGCAGGAGAAGGGAATCCTCAGAATTTCAACTCCCTCTGTCCCACTGTTGTTGCTAGCAACGAGTCCTATCCTCGAGCTGGCACTTTTCCGCGCAGGCTTCTGCGCTGACGCACCGAGGGGTCTTCACTCTTGGCCACGTCAGAACCAGCAGCATGGACCATGCGGCGAAGCGCTGTGATGGAAGTGTACGAATCGGAGCTGCGTTCTGACTACCGACCGGCACATCCGGCACGCATCAGGTGTGGGGCTGTCCGAGTGGTCGTCTTTGACCTTTCCATCGCGTCCGCTGAAACCTGACGAATCGGATGCCTTTCTAGTCATATGTTGTGTTCAGGCAGTTGATACCAAGCTGCCGAGACATGAAAACCCCAAGTCTTGCACATGCCTGGACATGTACAAAGAGCGGCATGATCGCACCAACTTCGCTGAGGATCGGGCATGAACTGATGGTTCTGCCGTACCTTGAAACGGCTACACAGCTGCGACAAGCGGCCTGCAGAGTGAACGTGGCGCACGCTCTGAACTCGAACCCGGATGGCTTCCTCGTAAGCTTTCCGAAAGCCATGCTCCTGCTGGCGAGACGGCACTGACCGTCACGCAAAGAATTCGTGCTCGCAGCCACGAACTCGGAGTTGCGATCGCGAAAAGCATGGAGTCTGAAGAAATCACCAAAGCCAAAGTCGCAGCTGGAGTAGCTTGGCAGGAAAATTTGGGAGCTCCGACCGAGTTCCTACGAAGGCGCCCTGCCCTGCAAGCCATAGAATCTCGAGTAGAACCCGCATACCCGACCTCGGTGCTGAACATGGCGTAGGTCTTCATGCCACAGTTACTCCACCGCGCCACCCAGGACTTCTCCTCTTAACTCTTAGCAGATTCGAATTCGAATTTGCCGGCTTAGCTGGGACCATTTCGGCGTCTACTTCTGGCACACGGGGCAACAGTAGTCGCTGAGAACGGGAGCCTCCTTGTCGAAGAAGACACCGCGGACGCCACTTCGACACTGATCTGGCTTCGGGCTTCCCAACTTCCCTGCACGGCCAGATTCCAGCGCACAGCGTGAAGATCATCCTCTGGTCCACGCATTCCAATCGCACCTGCCATCCGCAGCTGCTGGTAGAAGAGGATCGCGCGCGTGCGCCCTGGATGCAAACTTTGGTTTCTCATGTTCGCACATTCACTAAGCCTGCTTCTGCACCAGATTTCATCTACACGGTTACGACGTAACCGTGCTAGCAGCTTGCGGTGTACCTCGTGTGAACGCCTCGCCGGGAGACGCCGATGCACGGCTAAAAAGCTATGGAGTCTATCCTAGCCGGGACATTGGGCAGACCCAACCAACGAAGCCTCAGAAAACTTCACAACCTCTGCAGACCTGTCCGACCAGATGTCCCAACACCTCCGACGATTCGTAGCAACAGACATGGCGTGGCCCTGCTCACCTTGTTCGAACTTGCCCCCTCGGCCGCTGAACCAGCGGAATACCTGTTCGACTCAGAGAAGGCAGTATGCAAATGAAGGGTGCTGTAACCAGACCAAGAAATCGAAACTAACACTGCAACGGCCAAAGACGTGGCCAAAACCCGGACCAAACAAGTGTTGCCCAGAAGAACTTAACCAAACCTTGTCCGTGCTGCAAGAAGTGTTTGTGGCAAAGACTGGAGCTGGAAGCAATGAACAGCTTGTAGTCTTGCAAATCTGAATTCGGCTGCACACTACAGGCTGAAAGGAACCCTTCGCGGAACCCTGTAAGGCGACGTCAGCCAACTGCCGCAAGCACGGCCGACTGAAGCACAAAGCAGTAGCCAACACCCAGGCTTGCCTGCATGCCATGGCGATACCACATCACCTCACAGAGTTTAAAGTGTAGGGTTACTATAAGGTTTCTACAAGGGCAGTGTGACTGCAGAGTTGAGCGATACCTTGAAGCCGTACATCTGCCGTGCTTCGCTTCATCCGGCTGTGCAAGATCTGCCCTCCAAATCTGGCCGAGTCAGCCGCCATCCATCTCTGCATGCGGTAGTCCCATATCACCTGAACCAGTGGCCAGGGATCCTTCTACAAAGCCCGTATACAACTCTCATGCCTATCACTGTTCAGCTTATGTAGAGAATTCAACTTAATTCAACTCGCATCCGTCTGGTCCGGGCGTCTAGCATGGCGTCTGCTGTTCTCATACCTCTGCGGCAGTGCAGAAGATGTTCTGTGGGACCAGGACGGTCCCCGAAGACGACGCACAAGCTCAGAATATAGGGGTAGGACTGGTCTGAGCGGCATGCTGGGGAGCAAATCTGAGGCCACGGCAGCGGTATCCTTGTCCGGTGCATGTCATGCTGCGGCCAGTACATCTCCATGCGCTTTCCCAGACCCTGCGGAGGCTGCGTCTGGAGACGCGGGCGTAAACATCATCTGAGATGTTCCCTTTGCCAAGAGATGTTGAACATGGACCTGTTTCTCTGTGCTTCGTCGTCAGGTTATGGGGTCGCAGCACAGGGTTCCAGGTTTAGGAATAGGTCTAGTCTTGCCTACAGTTCTTGACTTGCCTGATGCCTTCGGACTGCTGCAACCGTCATCAGATCACGGACGGCATGACTGCCAAAGGCGAGACGACTTGGTTGACTTTCATGCTCTCACTCTTCACGTGTGCTTACACGTTCTTACGGCTCTTCATGATTCTTTTAGCCCGGCGAGGACAGCCCTGGATGCGTCCAGAGTCCAGGCCCCTGAAGCCTCATTTCTGAAAAAAAAGCGTCGCAACAGCCGCTGCCTTCTGGTGAACCGTCCGTGTCCGGGCCTGGCCCCAAACCCCGGCCCGGCTAAGGCTTCAAGGTCAGGGCATGGGAAGATCTCATGAATTGTCAAACGCGTCCCGGCGACGTTCTTCCGCTTCTGCTTGATGCCGAGCTTCCGCCCTGCAAAGCGCACCTGTTCAAAAAGCTGGACCGGCTGACTGCTCGGGGATCTGCCCCTTTCTGTTGCTTTGCGGCACCTGCTGCACCATGGGCCCCAACACCTCGCCAAGGATTCAGGCAGGGCCCGCACATGACAAAACTGGTCATGATTGGCCATGGATTCCATCTTGCTCCCAAGCTGCGATGTGTCCTGCACTGGCCGCACTGGCCTGGGGGACATTGTATCCGAGAGTCGGCCGCAGCCTCAGCAGAGGCGCAAAACAAGGAACCATTGAAGGGGGAATGGAGCATAGTACCAATATGCACAAACATAAACGCTTCCCGACGAAGCAGAACGGGGCTCTCATGCCTCGGCATTTCGGCTGCAGCGAAGAAGCGGCCTTTGGCCTCAGTCTTGAATATTGTTACCCTACTTATAGTATTTTAGTATTATAGTATTTGTTACCCTACTTGTTATTCGGAGGGCACTAGTCCGTTACGATCGGTGTGCATGCACGGAAAAATGCAGACGGACTCCTTTTTCCGGATGGCTGAAACCGTAGCGGTCTGGACCGGTGTCAGAGCCTCGGGCCGGACACAAGTCCAAAGGGTGCTGCTACGGATCGGTACGGGCACCGGTCGGGACAGGAACCGTCGGAACCGGGTGCCAAAATGGACTTTGCAGGTTTTCTGAGGCCGGCCTACGGCGTGCAGGAAAGGGCAAAGTCCAACCCACATCGGAAATCCAGGCTGAAAGCTGCGGATTAAAGGGCCTAAATCCAAGGCGGAGAACAAAGGGGAGGTGGCGGGAAAGAAAAGGCTAGCACACCGTCAGATTGCGGAACGGATGCGCCTAAGTCGAACGGCTGCGGTACAGTTACGACTTGCCGTTGCGAGCCCTCCGATTAACACAATACGACCCGTCGAGAAACCGTTATTCGGAGGGCACTAGTCCGTTACGATCGGTGTGCATGCACGGAAAAATGCAGACGGACTCCTTTTTCCGGATGGCTGAAACCGTAGCGGTCTGGACCGGTGTCAGAGCCTCGGGCCGGACACAAGTCCAAAGGGTGCTGCTACGGATCGGTACGGGCACCGGTCGGGACAGGAACCGTCGGAACCGGGTGCCAAAATGGACTTTGCAGGTTTTCTGAGGCCAAGGTCTAGAACGAAATCCAGGCAAAGGAGTACCCGCACCGGGGAGAAAACCGCCAAAGTCAGAAGTCCAATGCCGGGAAGAGGTCACGGTTGAAGGCGGACGCAGGAGAGTAACACGGGCGCGGAGGACGGCTCAACAGATGCCAAGGGACCAGGATCTCATCGGCAGGATTGAGTCCCAAGGTGCCCGGGTCGCGGGACCGGCTCAGGGCGTCAGCAATTTTGTTACGGAACCCCGGAACATGGTCGATATGTGCGGAAATGCAGAAATGACGCTGCCATAACAGGTAGGAGTGCAATAGGTCACACATACCGCGGGCAGTAGAGAGGCCTTTCCAGGAGGCCGATTCGGAAGGGCTGTTGTCACAGCGGCTGACGAAGTGAACAGGGTGGTGAGCGGCCGGGACAACGAGGGCAACGCACCATAGAAGCGCGATTTGGCCAAGGAGTTCCCAGGCGGCAATGAATTTCTGAGGGGAAATGTCAGGGGAATACCAAGCACAAAGTCGAGCAAGCTCCGCAGGAGATAAGGCGGAGCGGAACCATACCGTGCGGCCGGAGGGAAAGGCCACGAAGCCGCCCAGGCCCGCGTGTTTGCTGTCGGCACAGGCATCAGCAAACGCCTCGCAAGTTAACAGCGGAGCGAGAGACAGCGGGAAGAGCGGGATGGACTGACACAGGCAGGAGTGCCAAAGGTCCAAGACAGCTTTAGATTCCTGTGAGAGCTTCCGGTCGGAGTCAGGAGGGGAGCGGACAGAGATCCAGAGTCGTCGCTCACCGGCAAAGTGGAGAGGAACATCCTTCAGTGTATGAACAGCACGGGAGGCCACACTGACCAGGGTGCAGCCCTGGGGGCAACTAGCCAGACCAACAGATTTCGTGAGCACGAGGTCTTTGGACAGGGCTGCACGGAAGGATTCCCACTTGGAGGGGGCCACAGCAACGTGAACAAGTGGAGGTAGGCTTTGGTCCCGATACAGCGGTGCAAGGGACGGCCGGAATGGACGAAACAGGGAACAAACCCAAAGAAGTTTGCCGGTGAGTTTGCGAAGCAGGTGTAGTGGAATCGCCTCCCCGGAACGGGCTGAAGAAATCAGAAGGCGGAGACGGGCCAACTTCGGTGGTTCAAGCGTGGCGGTAAAGGTTTCCAAGGACATAGACCAACCAATCCAAGTCGGCCGTGCGCCCAAGTAGGCTTTGTGCCAACTCATTGGGACACGAAGCACAAGAAGGAACACACATAGCACAGCGGCCCACACCGGCGCGGACGGACCGGAAAGGAGGGAGATCAGGTCATCGACATAGATAAGCAAGGCATGGCGGATGAACAGAAGCCGATGCATGAGGCGTGACAGGATCCCCGCCAAACGTGCCCAGTAAAAGCCGGACGCGCGTGCACCGAAATTCAATGTCAGACACTGGAATAGGCGGCCGCGGTGGAAAAAGCAAAGAAGGCCTTGATCGGCGGCCCGGATCAGTATGCGCCGATGAGCCTTGCTGACATCCAGGATAAGTGCGAAGAGCTGTTCCAGGGCCAGACGGAGAGGAAAGCAGCGACGGAGGCCCGAGATGGTCGGGTTCGCAGACTTATTGGGAAGAGCGGTGTGTTCTGTAACACCGGAAACGCTGGAATCCACCACCAGGCGGGGGTCACGGTCGGGGGCCTTAACAAGTCCAAGCTTCCCCACGGCTGTACGAGCATAGGTGGCGGTGAGGCTGTCAAGACCGCCTGGAACCTCCCGCACCCATCCTTCAGAAACTTCGGTTTGAAGAAGGGAGTCAACAGTGGACAGGTCGGAAAGAGCTGATCCCCAGGAGGAGGAACAATGCTGTAAGTCCATGGATGGGTCCTTGGGTGCGGAAGCAGGGAACAGCGTAGGGCAGGCAGGCATAGGTTCGTCAACACCAAGAGGAACTCCCTCAAGTAGCAAGTCCACAAAGGGTCGATCCGGATCGCGCGAGAGCTGGAGCAGCGCATCCAGGAGGAACAGGCGGAACGGTTGGCCCGGAGGGACCGAAAGGAGTGTATCAAAGTCAGTAGCCGCCAGACCCAGGAAGGAGCGCAAGTCACCCAAGAAAGGTACCAGTTCGGACTCAGAAATCGGGGCATCCTTGGAGCCGGATGCCAGCCGAGCGCGAAACTTGGCAAGGAAATCCCCGGACAGGATGCGCTGAACCCAGAGTTTGCGCAGGGGGCCAAAGGTGTCGGGGCCGGACGGGGACGGACGGTGATGGCCTTGCAGACGGCGAAGCTCAGGGTCAAGGTTAAGCTGCCTGGCCCAGGATAGGACAGTGGCCTTGCAGCTGTGAACCCCATACATGGAGTGCTCAGGCGGGCAGGCCTCGGGGGAGTGCAGGTGCCAGTGTTCTTGCAGGAGGGCCCGGAGCCAGGGCATGGCGCGGGACCGGTGCAAAGGAGAGACAAACACCGGAGAGGCAGGGTCAGGCCCGAGGACCGGAAGCAAGAAATCCACCGTGCGGTCCGGGAACATGCGTTTGGTGTCGGACAGGCACTGCTGAAGGGCGTTAAGCCAGGATATGCCCCAACAAGCGGACGGCGAGCCCGTCAACCCGTAGACCTGGCAACCCCACGGCATGTTGGCCCGGCAGCTTTTAGTGCGGGTGGCGACACCGGTCAGGGCAGTGGAGCCGGATTGCAGTATCACCCGGGACGGGGGAGACCAAAGGCCGTCGTTCCAACGAAGAGACGACCAAATCAGGCACAGGACCGACCCCCGAAGCAGGACCTCGGCAAGCAGAGTCGTGGGATCCATGACGGACCGTTCGAGCCAGACGACAAAGGACACAGAAAGAGGCAATGCTTCACGCTTTTCCACCGGGCCGGTCGAGGAGAGAAACGCGGAGCAGAGCGGAGTGTGCAACTGTACCTGTATAGATGGCAAACCCGCCACCTTGGCCATCCAACTCAAGGCCTTGAAACTGGTGGTAGAGAGGCCAGAAGGGGCGGAAGTCAACTGAAGCCAGGACGGGAGTGCACCGGGCGGCGGGTCGGCAGGATCAATCCCAGAAAGGATACAGTGCCGGACCCAGGCAGACCAGGAACGCAAGTAGAGCTGCAAAGTGCTGGGGGCATTTTTCGCGATGGCACGTGCTTGGAGTTCCCGAGGCGCGGGTACCAGCTTGGTATGCAAAAACAGGGTGCAGCGGTCGCCAAGCTCCTGAACAAAGTCGCAAAACATGTTGCGGAAATGTGCCAAGGCGCGAGCAGTTGTGGATTCCATAGAGGAGGAATCGGAGGCGTCAGTAGCCAGTGGCAAGAAGCCAGAATGCACGAAGGGCGCCGGGGGAATCACAGAGGGCCGCGTATCCGGAGATGAGGCAGAAAGACCCCGGGGGTACGCCAATGGGTCGCGGGGCAGGCGAGGCACCCGGGGGCAGGACAGAAGTGGTGGGCCCAATGGAAACGTAGGAGCCGAACGTGCAGGACGCAAAGCCGGGCAGCGAAGAGGCCGGAACAAGGCGAGAGGGCCGGGGGCGAGCAGCCAGGTCCGACAAAGAGGCACGGGACAGGCAGGGCAAGGCCAGCCCAAGGCGAGGCACAAGCAAGGATGCAAGTCCAGGTAAGGGAGGACCGACCGGGTGAGCAGTAGGGACCGGCACGACCTGAAAGGATGTAGAGGATGCCGAAGAAGGGCTGGAATGAGGCGGTGCCGAGGGCCCAGGGGCCGAGGCCGGAGAATCGCATTGACGCGGGGAGGTGTCGCCCAAAAAATCCAACCGCTGCGGGCGGGGCGGTGTGATCAGAGGAGCGGCAGCGGAGGGCTGCAAAGGAAAGCCGTGAAGCAAGGAACCAAGGTCAGATGCCAAGGCCGGGTTGCCCGCAGGGGCCACCGGCGGATGCACAGGTACCTGGCCGGGCAGGGTAAGCAACAAATAGCGGAACAACGCACAAGAAAGAGACCGGCGCATCCTCGATGGTCTCCAGCTCGATGTTGGCCTGTCGGCAGGAAAAAAACAAAAGCAACATGTCTCTGAAAGCAGCAGGCAGGTGCAGCAAGGCGGGGAACCACGACCTTTTTAGGCATCGCCGCAGCGGGGCCGGATCAGGCCGGCCGCGAGAAGCAGAAAAGTGCACAGCACCGGGCCTAGCGGACCACCCCAAAACAATGATCTTAGGAGACTAGTTGCATTATGGGCCATAAAAAGCACGGGGAACGCGGGGCGGTCCGGATCATTTGCCTAGTACCCGTCCTGGATACAGTAAGGGCATTTGTGCCCGGTGTGATCGGTCCGGGAATGCAACATCACGGGCCGGAGGCAAATGCGGAGGCAATGCGGGCCCCGGGCCGGACAATCATGCGAGCAGTAGCCGCGAATATGCAGGTGAGACAGAACCGACGGAGGCTCCTGAAGCGGAGCCCAGCTTGGCAAGTCCTGCTCCTCAAAGCAAAAGAGGTCGGGCCAGGGCCAGGAGTCCGTGCGGATGAACGGGCCGGGCGTCTCGGGCAGGAAAATGCTCAGGCGCTCCCAGCCTTCGCTGATGGTCCAGGGGCCGGTATTGGCCCGGCGCGGGGTGAGTTGGCCCCGATCCACAAAGACCGGAGTGCAGCCGGGGCGGTTGGGATCAGAGTGGACCAGGGGCGCATTCGGGTCGATGGCCGACGTGTCCGTAAGGAGGGCCTGGCGCGGGCGGGCGAAACCGGGCAGGACACGGAGGCCACCGGAATCACCACCAGCACCGGGGGGGGTCGGCTGGGCCGAGTTGCCATCGGCGGGCCTGGTGCCATCGTTCTGGTCCAGACCGGCATGGATGGCGTCGGCTGCCTGTTGGTCCGGAAAGCGCGGACCGGCCGGCACCGGTGCGAGGTCACCACGCGTAGTCTGCGGATAGCGTCCTCGGTTCGGAGGCGGGCCGGTCTGGGACATGTGCGCGACCGGAACCTCGACGTCAAGCTGGCCCAGGTTGCCCATGGCATAGGTGACGTCCTGGGCGACCTCCGCGATCAAACAAAGAAGTCGAGTCACCTGGAACGGTGGCAAGTCGGCCAGGGACCGGTAAATGGCATCATCGTCCAGAGTGCAAAGAACGGACAGGTCCATCTCGAGGGGCGGCGGAGCGGCCTTGGCAGTTGCCGCAGGAGCCTTGGGAGCCGCTTCGGATGGAGCAGCCGCCGGCTTGGCGGGGGGGAAAGAGGGTGTGGAAGGCCGGGCCGGAGGAAAGCTGGCTTTCTTCTTAGGGGATCCGGCGGGAGCAGCTGGCAGGCCACCAGTCGTAGGGGGGTGGCTGGGAGGCTGCTTTTGGGGCGCGAGAAAGTCGGCACCACGCTTGGCCGGGGGCTGGGACGGGGTGGCAGGTGGATCCACGGAGGGGGCCGGGTCCGGAGCCACGGTAGTGTCCTGTGCCGGGGTCTCCGTTGGGACGGCCTGGGCCTCGACATCGGCCGGAGTCGGGTCGACGTCGGACCGGATGCCAACGGCAGCTCCCACTACACCGCGGGCCAAGTCGCGGAGAGCGTGTCCACCAAAGCGGGCCATGATCAGCAAGATCGAAAGGCAGAGAAGGCAGAAAGCGTTAGAAGCTAAAAGCGGCTGCGGCAGGAGGCAGGGGTAGCTCGAGCGCGGCGAGACAACCAGCCAGAGCTAAAGCAGGACCGGAAACAGCTTGCAAGCCGGCCTTCGGGGGCGAGACCGGCGGACCAGAAGCCGGGTCAGGCCTGAGAAGAGCCAACGAGAAGCTAACAATTAGAGTGCATGCAGCTGGGGACCATACATGATGGAACGGAGCTGAGCACCGAAGGACCTTAGCCAGATATGGGCCAAGGCGGGAAGTGTAAAAAGGCGGGGTCGGCCTCTTGGCGGAGAGGCGGGACCGGGGCCGCCTGACAGAAAGGGTCAAGAGGCAGCAAAGTTAAGCAGAAAAAACAGCCTCGAAGATGAGGATGATGTGCTCGAGGACCGCCGGGCCCTACGCCGTCGGCGAGGACGGGAGCGGGACGAGTCAGAAGAAGAAGGCATCAAGCCGTGACAGACTAAAGAAAAGGCTAGCACACCGTCAGATTGCGGAACGGATGCGCCTAAGTCGAACGGCTGCGGTACAGTTACGACTTGCCGTTGCGAGCCCTCCGATTAACACAATACGACCCGTCGAGAAACCATAACCCTACTTATAACTTTACGATGACTCCGCGTCGCTTTGTTCAGGACTGGTGACTAGGATGAGAATGCAACTCTGCACGACTCAGTCTGAACACGGACTTCACCTGCACTTCTTGGCTGAGCCTGCTTATGATCTCACCAAGCTGTGGTCATGGATCATCGGTCGTAATGCAAAGCCCACTGTCAATGGGGCACTGGAGACTTGCGTCGGCAGCTATGCATCCACTCTCATGCTCTAAGATGCACCTCTAGCCTCCAGCCAATCGTGGAAATCGTCTGCACTTCGGCTGCCGAAGCTTCAGAATGGCTAGGAGCTTTCAGCTTCTGCACGAACAAGGCCAATGACAAGAGCGGGACTCTTTGAGTCCTGCAGGGAATCTGCTGCTTGTGTCAGGTGACGATTGTGATTGTCATTGTCGCTCTTGTTGCTATTGCTGCTGCTAGTGTTGCATTGAAGCTGTCATCCTTCCTGGAAATTGTCATTCACTGAACAGGGCCGCTCATCTTCATTCCAACGTCATTCCAACGTGCCGTGGTATGCTGTGGTGCTAGGCGGATGATCCTAACGTTGTACTCTTTCTGGAACTTATCGAAGAAAGAGACAGGATGCGCTCGGGATAGGGGGCCGAAAGAGCCGACAAGTCGCGCCCTTGCTCGGGCAACCAGAAACGAAAGCCACCGAGAAGCAGGCGTCTTGCGTGCTCGCTGCACTCAAGAAACCTGCGACTGGCAAACTGATGCATGGATCGCCCTTTCCCCCCCATCTAAATGTTTCCCACAATTTCACAATACAGAAGAGTGACGGCACAGCAGGGGAGGCCCCGCCGGCCTCTGCTATGAGCTTGGAGAGAGGGAGAGGCCAGCCTGGCCCCATCTGGCCACTTGACAGCAACTCAGCAAAGTACGCAGAACACTCGAAGCCGCTGCTCAAGGAACATTTCACCAAGCAAAATACCAGGAGGAGCTCAGAATCACCCGGGATCCCGGGATCACTGATTCAAAAAGGGAAAGGCCTTGGCACCAGCCGACAAAGCCGCGAGATCCGCGCTGTGTCGGCCGCCTGAGCTTGCCAGATGCAAGAGGGAATTTCACCTGGCTTTCTCTCCACTTTGGCACTGCCATGATTGAACAACAAAGGATTCCAGCAGCATGTCTCTAGGAATGACTACACTACGATCCTTGTGTACCTCGGCTTGCAAAAAGAATCGCATGCATTATTCTACTGTATGCTTTGATCCTGTAGAGGAGTCAGCAGGAAATGAAATACACCCAGCGCATGAGTACTGTCACAGAGTCGCTCTAAGTCGCCCATGTTCGGCATGTGCTGACGCAAATTCTTGAACGTTTTCTTGCGGGGAGCATCCTTTCGCTATAGATCCGAATTAGATGGATAGGTCAGTCACTAAGTGAGCGGCTTGAGTTCCAGGGCATGAACCGCCCCACACGGCAACTCTACCATGGAGGCTGCAAGGCGTGCAGTGGCCGGTCTGACCTCCCCGGCCCAAAACCCCAAATCGCGGCGAACCCTAAACCCTAAACCATCCTAAACCGCAAACTTTCACGCGACCCCGCCCAAATCTCAGCTCCCTGGCGGCGGCAAGGGCCCAGGCCATGGCCCGAAAACGGGGAGAAACTCGGGTGCTTTCACCCAGCTCCGCCTATATCGAGGCGGAGCCTCGAAGTGGGGTGGGGGAGCTGGTCTAGTAAGACTCTTTTGATAGAAATCGTAACATGGCAAGTAAAAATGATGATGATAAATTAATGACAGCAGTTCTATGCCACTATCGGAAATCTAGCAGGCAAAGGGCTGCAGCAAACGTGAGGAGTTGACGGAGTCGGGTCCTGGTCTCATGCCTTGCAGGGGCTGGTTCTAGGCTGTCAACCCTATGCCGTGTTTGCGCAGTGCAAAGCGGACAGTCGAGCGAGGTGTCAAAGGCAAAGCACTGTCCTGACATACTTTAGATCCGCACCAGTGCATGGGGAGCTCGTGCCGATTGCAGCCTTGGCACGACTTTTTCAAGCGCCACGTCAGGACTTCTGCCGGGCCTGTCGATTCGAAAGCCTAAATTCTTGTTCAGCAAGGCCATGGGAAGGCTCCCAGATGCACATCACGCTGTTGGTCGCTGTTGAAGGCTGGATTCCTGGATGCCCCCAAGGCCGCTTCGACCTGCTGTCCCTTCGACTGCTCTTGCTAAGCGTGGCAAGGACCGCGACAACGGAAGGACGGGACCGTGACCTCCGCACTCTGCGAGTTGGCACCGCCCGCGCCGCAGTGCACCGGTCACGGGATCGCGAATCACCGCGAGTTGCGTCGTTCCGCCTCGATCGTCATGGGCCCATGCGGAAACAGCCAACAGAGTAAGCGGGCCTGATGAAGTGAGGGGCGGGCCTGCTTGCAGACCTGCTCGAAGATGAAGAGAAGCTCGGAACCAAACTCTGAGGGCATCAAACCTCACAGACGGAATCTCCAGTGCACGGGCGACGTGTCAACTGCGCTGGCAGAGGAGGCGCTCTCTCTTGCAGGCCAGATGCTGAAGGTATGCGCAAAGCCCTCCCCCGGGACGTAGTCTGTTTGAAACTCGCCACCTGAGACAGGACTCGGCAATCGGCAATTTGCAGAAGACTCGCTTTTCCGAGGCGCGGGCCCTCCCCCAGTTCCCGGCAGCCGTTGTCCCAAAGGCAGAGGCAGCCTCCCGTCTGTGCGACGCCCGCCACCGTCAGAGGCACGACACCTCCCCAGCCGACAGAGAAGTCTCTCAAGGCTCCTGATAGTCGAAGGGTCCACGCAGTTTCTGCCTGGGTACTCTGCAGGCACAAGGAAGCGGAACTCGGCACGGCCTGGCCACGACTCAAAAGGACAGCTGGTCTGCCACAGACAACAGACGGTTTGGCCTTCCGAGCTGACAGCCACTCTTGGCGGGTAGCTCCGCTGTAGGACTCCTTCGGCCACCTGCACCTGCGCATTCGCCCGTGTCGTTGCTCTGACACACGAAAAGAGCGGATCCAAGTGGGAGCCCTCAAACTCTCAGAGAGCGAGTCCCTGGTCACTCTTTTTGGGTCTTCCAAAAGCCGGGCCCTGGCCTGGAGCTGAGCTTCGAGGGCAGAGCGCCGGACCACCTCCCGGGATCGGCTGGGCCACTTTAGCACTCCGCTGCACCGCTGCCTCCCAGGGCTCCATGGAGAGCCATCTGCGGAGGCGCATCGAGGGCCCGTAGTAAACCTCTCGTGCTGACATTTCCAGGCCCCGAACAGGAAGGCCGTTAACACAGCCCACCATAGCTGCGCTGGACCCACCTCTGATCCCCATCCCGAGCAGGTCTTCAGCACTCCAACTACTTCCGCGCCAAGGGGCATCTTCCGACTTGGGGAAAAGAAGCAGCTCAAGATCTGCAGAGATGACGTCCCCAGCCTCCCGCAGAGCAGGCGAGCTGGGACCCTCCCTTCTTGAACGGTATGGAAACCAAACTGTTGCGACCTCCTAAAGCACCCTTACAGAAAAATCGGCGTCGACCTCTTCAAGGGCCGCACGCCTTCCAAACCAGCACCCTTACAGAAAGGACTCTCAAGAGCCCGGGATTGGCTTCGGCGCCTGCAGGCTCTTCTTCCCTGGACCCAGCTCCAGGCCCAGCGTGGGCGTGGGATCCCCCATGTTCCGGGAGCCGAAAACGGAGAAGACGAAGCCTCCAAGCATCCGGGGCGCCGAAAGCACAAGCGGAGATCTCGGACGTCCAAGGCCTGGCCTCGATCTTTAGGCAGCTCCTGGCCCCCCATCTGCCCGCGCCAGCGCCGGACGACCAGCCCACGGTGCGCGTGGCGATCCTCCTCGAAGGCCAGGAACGGGGGGCCAGGGGAGCCCGGCTGGGAAGCTTTCACAAAGATCACGGACCCAAAAGCAACAGCGCAGGTCCTGGTTCGACTGCGTAAGCAGAGCAAACCAACAGGGCGGCTCGTGGCCTGAAGCGCAGACGTTGCCCGGCAGTAATGGTGAGCCCTAAACCCAAGGTTGGAACATGGATTTAGGACGATCACTGCTGGAATTGCATGCACTGTACCTTCCGGATAGTCATATTTCAACTTTCTGGCAGCCCATGTCGGCTTTCGCTAGTGTGTGATCCCAGACTCAGACGCCAGAAGGTCTGCTTCATTAAGCCATTAAGCTTCTCCAAATAATCCGAAAACTCCCACCTCACCCCGTGTCAGAGGACTGGATGACGTTGCCAAAAAGGATCCTAAAGTAACACTCGTTGCTCCGACATTCAACCACCTGGGAGTTTCTACATTTCAGGCGCCGAAACACAGCGCCCACTGCAAAGTAGTAGGGTCCCTAGAATGAGGACCCCCCGGATGTGGTCTCCCCGAGTTTCCGAAACCACTCTTACCCTAAACCCTTAAACTAGCCCAAACGAGGCCCAAAGCGTGCCGAGGTGGGCGCGGTGGGGCTGGGTGCGGGGGTGGGGAAGGGATCCGCAACTTTCGAAGGCAGGAGGCACGCCAGATTCCTCAAGTCCTTCGAATACTCAAACTGCTCCAAGTCCAAGGAGATGTTCCTCAAGTTCAAGGGAGTAGCTTGAAGTAGCTACGTTTGGTCTGTTCTTCGATGCTCGGGGCTTTTGGGCCTTTGACGGCTTAGGCACCTGCCGTTTTTTCAATTGTTAGGGCTGCATAAGCACGGATCGTGCTTTGGGATATTGTGCCTACGAAGGCTCATATTCCTGGGGTCTGAAATGCTTATGGCTACTCTTGCAAAGCAAAGGCACGTGAGGTGGCGGTCCAACCTCCGCGAGCCATAGGCGAGCGAAGGGTTCAGGACGAAGTTATACCAATCGCCACCCAGGAGGTAAAAAGCGAGCCGACGATAAGTCACGTTCCTCAGTACCTCGTAACGAAAAGAGTGCAGGTAGCGAGGGAAGTCCTCTGTGGCCCAAGTTGAGACGGTCCGCTCGACACGGACGGCGCCATCTGCTGTGACACCATAGTAGGTGGCATTCGTGAGCCGGGGACCGTTCGATGTGTGAGTGACTGTCACATTGGTTAAATACTGGTAAGATCCACCAGGATCAATGGCCGTCAGAAAGTCCTGAGAATCAACAAGAGACTTCGACAACATCAGCTGTAACAGTAAGACATCTCAGACGAGCAGCGGAACCGCCATGATTCTCGGTCCAGCCAGTGACATTTACGTCGCCGACGCAGCCCTCCACCTACGGTAACCGGACACGGCGACAAATTGTCTGTGCCGGCAAATAAGATGCATGGACCTGCCTTGTCTAAGTTGCACAGGTGCTGGGCAAACCTCGCAAAACCGTGTGTACTGGCAGCTTTAACGAATGCCAAACCCCTCCCGTCCAACCTTCCGCTGGCGTTGACTTCCTGTGCGAACGTGCGAAGTCTTTGGCATTTCCATTGTCACAATTACACCCGATTATTGTGGTGCACGAGCTATCATGCCGCAGCTGGCTCGAGGCCGCTACGACAAACAGCATGAAAGCTGGGCACGGTTCAATGCTCTGCAGGCTCGACCGGCGTCCTTCTGGCACGTGCATTTGGGCTCATCCATCTTGCAGACGAGGAAGGGTCGCGTGTCCAGAACCAAGTTTCGCCGCTGCTGCCTCTTTTCGAGCAGAGCTGCATCGTACAATTGCACTGATGATGCGTTTTGTTTCCTCTCCCAGCGACTTTCGGCAAGGCGCAGGTTCGGCTCGAAGGTGATGGATTCGCCTTCGCTGCCCAGGCCAACCTCTTCCCAGAGACCATTGGAGCCCGGCCAACCTGCCCGGCTCCGACGCGTATGCTCTTCCGGATTCTGCCGGTGTCTGATAGGATGAGAATGCGTGGACTGGAATCTTGCTGCTATATGGCTTAGTGTCTACAAAGGTGCGTTCCTCATGCGCCTCTGCTCGGCTACAAGAAGCAGCTGCTGCTTCGAATACACTCTACTGCACGAAGTTTCGAACATCGGGGGCGGCATTGAAGCTAGTAACCCGGTCGAGTGGCCATGACTATGCTTGCGCATGCAAGCTGGAGACGGAGCTACCAACACAGGGCGAGTTCAGAGAAAGCGCTTGATCGGATAATTTGAACGGATCTGTCGATACATGTGCTGTGCGGTTTGGAACGGCGCGAAAAGAAGTCTCAAAAAGTGAATCTCAACCAGGCCGATGGTATTGAAGCCGCAGTCACAAAACCGCAACACAACGCTCGTTCCAATCGTATCGACAAGCCCCGGGCGAATGATTCATGATGATTCAGGTGCATCATTGCCACAGTAGGAGCACGGAGGCCGTTCCAAATGCTTGGCAAGTGTCTCGACAAGCCCCGGGCGAATGATTCATGATGATCCAGGCGAATCGTTGCCACCACGACCGGAGCAAAAAGGACTACAGCATGAGAAGTCCCTACTGCCCTTCTCCAAACACAGAGCTGCAACGAATCCAACAAAGCTTGCTCTCACAAACAAGCCGATGGGGCCTATCAGGCAGAGCTGCGCATGAGACACCGTGTGTAGCTTGCCGAAGAACTGATAAGCAACCTGTCTCTCGCAGGCGAAACTATGGCGAAGCTAGGCCCACACGATCTCTCCAGTGTGCTTGCAGTGTAGTCGAGGCACGGCGAGCTCACCCTTCAAGCGGCTGCGGGGCGGCAGCCGCACTTGCACCTAAGACCACATCGACTCCCGTCAGCATGGACAAACTGCAGACTGTCGTTTCGTTATTTGCCAGGCAGCAGCAGCTGAATACCACTCTCCGTCATAGCTGATGCGCTCCCAGAAGCACTCGTTGTCGTGCCAATTCTTGCCTGAGTGCCGCTCCCGTCGCATTGTTGCCATACAGTGGGCTGTGACCATACCACACAACCCTGCCCAGTTCTTAGGGACATCTGCCAGCAAGCCGCTGATTTGCAAATGCAGTCCCGAAGGTCGCTTTGTCGTCCCGTTGTGGAGTGCCACGGCAACGCCTGCGTGCCGGTACATGTCATGCATCCTTACAGTCCCCGCCTGTCCAGCACTCTGTCCAGTTGAGCTGTGGTGCCAAAACACGTGCCCAATCTCTGCACCCGGAGCAAGCCCTCTTGCGTGCCTGTGATCTTCTTCGGGGCTGCGATGTGGAAAATAACCCGAAAATCCATGCTTTCCGCCGTCGGATTCGTCAAGATAACCTGTCACAAGGCGCATGCGCTGTCCCCCAAACTGCTAAGCCCGAAAGCAAGTCGAGCAATGTAAGCTCATGCTCGAAAGAAAACGCCTACACCCTCACTGTTCGATTCTCTGGGCCTCGTAGCCATCGTTTTGCACGATGCTCTCGTTGCGAGACGTGAGCTCAACCCTCCATGCTTGTCCGTCACCCCAGATCGGGCGCTTCCCCAAGAATGGGTTGCCTCGTGCAGACTGAAGCCAACATTGCACGAAAGTAAGGAGAGTGTGAACCTGTCAAACATCACACAGCGATGATGAGCATGCGAGCATGCGCTCAGCATCGACACTGGAAGTCCCACTCAAAGCCTCACAAGCATTGAAGCCTTGCGAATGCCATGATCGGGTTCTGCCTTCGGAGAGCGTTGGCCAGAAACGCCCTTCAGCGGCAATGTCTCGAATCGTGAGCCGTGGAACTGGGCCAGCAGCCTTCCTCAACACAAGACAGGGAGGCATTGAGGCCTGGGCTGCTTTGAACACTCCAAGTGCGAAAGAAACTGCCGCCATGTCTCCAGTCATTCAGGGGCACCGAGCATGCCACTGTTGGGCCAGATCCACAAAGCCCTTCGCCCAGCCTCGTGCTTCCACCGGTCCAACCGGCGGCAAACCCAATCCAGCTACTCAGCACATGCTGGCCAGCTGCGGGCAACATGCGCGTGAACCGGATGGTGCTTGCATCCTCTTCCACAGGCACCTGCCAATCCACGCGCTGCAAGAAACACTGAAGCCCGAAAATCAGCAACTAAAAGACGCTGCAGGGTCCAAAAGAGTTGCGAAAGTGAGTTTGCGAGCGGGTGTGGCCGGCTGATTCCGCACACCTACTCGGCGCGCTATGCAGCGCACTCTGCTACAAATTTACCTGCCTTCCATGAGCAACTCTTAAGGTGGAAAATAACCAGCCGGCACACCTGTCGTGCAGTGGCTGCAACAAGCAGCCGATCAACCAAGACCACCACCCTAAAAATCTGAGAAAAAACACAAAAGGGGCCAGAACAGGTGAGCACATGAGGTCGCACGACCCAGAAGGTGAGCCGGTGCTCGATAAGGCATTATCCACATCCCACACTGGTCTCTGGTCTCTGCAGGCTGGGCACGTACCCTGGCAATGGAGGCAGTACGCGGCGGTGCCGTAGCCGGACCCGCCCACAACCATGGATGTCTCATCTCCGAGTTCCTCCTCCCACAAGACAGGACGTCGGCAACAGGATGTCTGTGGCACCCATCTATTGGTCAGGTCCTGAAAGCCGGGCACCAGAGCTCCATCCTCCGGTATCACGTGCAGGTCGATGCAACTCGGCCAAACTCGGAATTCCAGCGTGGCGCTGGCATTGCCACCTCAATGCCACAAGGCTGGCTTTCCAGGTGCTGTCTCATGTTGGCAACACTGCCTAGAAGTCCATGCCAGCAGGACAAGGCACAGGTTGTGTTCAGGATTAACCACTGGTGCAAATATCTCCCAGCCCGAACTAGACGAACTTGATAGCCTGCTCCAGCAGGTCAGTGCATCAGCAACTGGTTGAATGCAATGCCGCACACAAATGACCCCAAAAGCATTTCAACAAGCACTGGTGGGATGCCTCCGTGGGAGAGAAGGTCGTGCAAGTCCCAGGGACCGCGACAGGGCTCTCCTGCACCACATGGGATCACTACGGGGATGCTTTGCGATGCATCTCCGACGCCTTCCATCGTCGGGCGCAGCGCCAAAGGCTGCCCAAAGGGACTTTGAACCTGGAAAGCCAGGGTGTCGATGTCCAGGGTGAGGTTCAGGTAGCCTGTGGAGCAGACACCGACTTCTTTGGGGCCTCAGTAGTATGATGCTACACTTCTATTGGGACTGTAAGAGGCCCATCACACGAAGCCTACGCCCACCCGAACTGCCGTGACTGTAACTGTCGTGGAGACTTCGCCGTCTCTTGCCTGTGAAGAAAGCAAGGACGCGCCGGAGGTTGCTCCGCGGCATTGGGCCGCATGGATCATAGATCTTGCGCCCCTGACAAGGCTGGACAAGGTTACAATGGCTCTACGATGGCACTTTCAAGCTATTCAACCAGCAAGGCCACCTGTCGTTTCGTGGGAAAGCGGCAGTGAGAGGAGCCATTGGCCTTTGGCCATCAACGATTCCGCGAAAAAGAATCTCTCGGATCCCCTGCGCCGTCTCACACCAAGTGCCTCCGAGCTGCACGAAACAAGTTCCAGGCCCAGGGGTTAAGCTCCTTGGCAGTTTAGAGTTTAGATGCTCAGAGCAGACCAGCGACTTTGCAAAATGTGAGCGCCAAGTCTTCCGACAGTTCCCTTTCTTCGCTTTCCGTGGGTGCCGGCTTCGAGCTGAGCAATTCACCGAGTCTCCCCACGTGGAGGCCCGAAGAGCCAAGAGCTCTGAACGAAAGCTTTCGGGTCCAAGACTTCCTCGAAGGCTGCGTAGCGCAGCGCCTCACATGGCAAAAGATGCATGCAAGTCTGCAAACATGAGCATGCCGTGAGGGTGGGGCCTGGGAACAGACCTCCGTGTCGGCCATGGTCAAAGCTTCTGGGTCGTTGAGGAGAAGACGACTCAAAGCAAACGACGGCTCTGTTTCGATCTGAATCAAACTTGACAATGAGTGGGCTTGCGGCTTGCAGTCAGACCCAGCAGCTGCAGTAAGGGCTGTCTCATTTAGACACTCAGGTAAGGAACGTGATGAAATCACACATTGCATCATGGCACAAGAGAGATTTTTTGCTCGCCTGCATCGACGGTTGTGTCGGCCGGTGGCCACTTTGCAACACAATCGATCGCGACTGCCGCATGATTTCCGACGCATGTGGGGGCTACGGCAACCTCATCCAGCCGCAAAGACACAAATTGAAGCGTGCCAGCAGCTGTTCTTGCTGCCAGGCCAATACCTACGTGCACTGTGCAAATTCAAGGTTCACCTGCACAAAAACACTGGACACAGAGGTCGAGGTTTCAGCTCAGACATCGGAGTCTTCGTCTTCCTCCAGCTTGAGGGTGAAGTCAACGCCAGACACCGGAAACACTGTGCCGTTCCTCAGCTTGTGCTTCCGGCAGCCGTGCCATTTGCATCTCGCTTGTTTCAAAGCCCGACAAGCTCGAGTCAAGACGCTCCACCAGGTTGATCCCCTCGATCATATCCCCAACATCAGAGCGGAAGCAGGTGATGGGGGCCTCGCGACGCACGATCAAGAAGTCTTCGAAGACAGCCCCCAAACTTGCACGAGGCCTTCTGCACCCAGACGCGGTCAGAGTCCGTGAGCTGTGCCTGGCCTCAAAGGAAGCCAAGGGCTCTCTACCCTTCGCTCCGTATCACTGTCTTACTTGCACACAGCCAAAGTGCAGCATACGCCGCACCCGCATCACTGTCTCTCCGTCTCTCTGTGTTGTACCGTTAAAGCTGTACCAGGGGTTCCGGGCGCAGGGAGCCGCGGTTGCACACCACGCACTCCAAGGCATCTTGCCAGAGTCGCATGCCACCACAGCCTCCCGCAGAAGCCCATCTGTTCATCTTCTCTCTCCAGGGCTTTACTCGTTCCTGGCCTCGAAGGTACTCGTAGTCCCGGCACCTCTTACCCTTCACCAGCTGCCCGCCACAGCGGTACTCACGATACTTCTGGCCTTGGAAGCGAGCCGGAGCCCTGTGTTCGGAAGTTCGGAAGGTCGTACGTGCGGGCAGGAGGCGAGGACCCACGTCATGATAACGCTTCAGATCCACCAAGCTCCTGAGATTCTAAACTCGACAGGGGAAGCAGACAGATCAAGACGGCAGCTGTGTTTCTCCCCCGCCGAGGCTCACCCAGCCGGGCAGGCTGAAGGGATGTCGGCAGGTGATGTCCTCCGCCTGCGATGGTGGACGGAGACTCCACAGTCCACAGTCGACTGGGCAACATGTCCCGCTGAAGTCTTCGCGTCAGCAGCGCCACCTCCACTTTGGGGTTCGTTAGCTCCTTGTACTTCTTGCGAATCTCTCTGGTCGTCGGCTTCTCTCCTTACAATCAAGAAGCCTCGCGCACACCCGTTGCAAAGCAGAAATGCAGCAAGGGATCGAAACCGTCGGTATTCGACCCCGGGGTAGGCCGGCTGAACCAGGACTAGGCCCGGATTGTCTTTCATAAGCTCCAGGCCTGGGACCCAAAGCAGCTGCACTTTCCAAAACTTCTACCACGGAAGTACCTGCACACCTCAAGATACAACAACACTAAAATCTGGATCCGTGTGACGGATCGGTTGCTGCTGTCTCTGATTCCAGCTTGGCCTACCGCTTCTGGAGATCTCCAGATTGAATTGTTCCCAACTTTGTTGTTTTTGAAGTTGCAGCTTTGAAGCCGCCATGCTGTCCGTCTTGGGTGTCGAACGCTGGGGGCTGACTTAGAGGTGTTTGTTCAACCATGTACAAAAGGGACATGGCCCCTGATCGCATCCCGGGGGGAATGAATGCTTCCGCGAGTGTGCTATGCCCGACACTACTATAAGGTCACGCTCGCGTATCTTGCCTGGCGGATTTCGTATCTGCAATGCGCATGAAACCCAGGGCCCTTCCAGCTTCTACAGGCGTCCGTACAGCATTGGGCTGTAGGGAAACACCACAATTTACAACGGTTTTGCAGGAAAGTTCGGGTGTCATGTAGCGAAAGCGCTCTGATCCGCACTTTGCTCTCTTCGACCAATGTCCGCCAGCTGCTTCAATCGAGAGCTCGCCCGTTTTGCTGCCGGAACGTTACGTTCAAACTGGCCCAGAGAAGACTTGGGCTTAGAACTTTGCTCGCGCACAAAGATGTGCCGACTTTTTCGAGAAGGCTGGCTTAGCTGGTTCAGCAAAATGGCTTGGATCATCTATGTGTTGACGCCGTCACGCGCCGCAAGGCGCAACAAAAAACATCATAGCAGGGTACTGTTAGACTGACAGGCGCAGAATCCCGTGGTCGCAGCCAGTTGCAGCAATCTCAACCAGCGATTCCAAGACGGTGCAAAGAGCAAAGGATACGTCACTACTTCCCCATAAACCCCCACCCCGAAGTCGGACGCACTGCTGAGCAAAGTAGTCATGTCTGGAATCAGAAGGGTGTAGCACCGCAAAGTTGAACAAACGTGGACAAAAACCAAGCTCTAGCAAGGGCATCGACGGTATTCGGCCCCCAGCCCTTCAGAGCCCCTTCTCGCAGGCAATCTGCGTGCGCCCCCGCCAACTACTTTCTCGACAGGCCAAAGTATCAGACCCAAGTGTCGCTGTTCCGACCTTATACCCTCTGCATGCCCCAGCTGCCTGCGGCGACCCAGGAGTATTTTCGATAGCTCATCCAGATCACCTCGATCTCCACCACCACCAGGTAGCCTCAGTCGAACAGGGTTTAATGCTTTCTCCGCCATTCCCCTCAGAGTCTAGGGCTGAAGGACGAGGAGACGCAGAGATCTTGCTCCTTTGTGCTGGCTCCAAGGAGCCATGGCCGCACTGGTCGATGGCAAAGTAGTGTGCCGGCCGCTCCTTCACACGAGGCTGCTGGAGCAGTAGCGATGCGAGTGGATGAGATGACATCCTCTGCGTGTGTATGCATCGACACACGTTCTCTACAAGGCGAAGACTGCTTGGCTGGCAGCAGAGCTTTGCCTGACGGCGTCCTTGTCTTCATAATCTTCGTTGAACTCGGTGAAAGACACGGTCTTGTGCCGGTCCTTGTAGTATCATCGAGACGTTCGGGACGTTGAATGAGAGGAGGAGGAGGAGGAGGAGGAGGAGGAGGAGGAGGAGGAGGACTGGCCGTAGTGAATAATAGCCGCCCCCACCTTCGCCCCCCCAAATCTTGTCCCAACCGTGTCTCTCGCGAGCTCGCCCGGCCCCGCAGCAGGAAACGGTTTTGTGAACATCTGGGCAACATACTCAGTCACGGTGCGTGCGCTCTCTGCATACACCGCTGCTGAACGTGGACTCGCGCCCGTTGCCCTACAAGTACGGATGTTCAAAGCTTGCAAGCATAAAATTGACACAGCGAAGGCAGGATGGCGGATGCAAGCTGCTGCAAGCTGTCTTGATGCACCGAGATTCCCGAAATCCTGCTGATGGCGGATGCTCGAAAGGATCCCAATTTGCTGTCTTGTTGATCCGCTTGATGAACCTGGGCTGCAGCGCAACACAACACCGACCAAGTGCTGACTTTGCTCACGAAGATCTAGAGTAATGGCTGTGAAAATGCAGATTCTCGGAATCATGGGAGCAACTTGGTGGAGCTTAAGCTATGTGCTCGATTGCTTGTGGCGCAAGGCGATGAGCTGGACAGGAATAGAAATGCAGAATGGACGTGAAGAGTCAGCACTGAGTAGCCGAGCCGCTTCTGTGAGTAGTCCGCCACCAGCCACTTGTCGAGCAAGCCACTGCTGACGAGCTTCTGCGCGTTGTCCTTACAGTGGTGTCCGGATGGCGACCCCACCCCGATCACCTGCCCTTGTGCAAAAGACAGGGTGTCCCGTGGCTGCACGGCCGAGGCTCAGAAAGCCTTTCGCTGGGTTTCTTCCCATCTGTGTCAAGCACGATGTAGCTGCTGGCGAACTTGTAGTGCTGGTGCCGGAGGATCTGCGCAACCTGAGAGGACACCGCAGCCGCAGAGATTCTTTTTGTAGAGGGCTGGCTCGAGGAATCCGCCCATGGAGTAAGGCAGTCCCCGAGAAAAAGCGTCCAAGGCGCCCTTACTTCCAGCTCTTTCCAGTGGTTCTCTTTCGCAATGACGGCGAAGCAAACGCCATCCTCGCTACCTGCGCTGTCTCTTCGTTTGCAGATTAATCTCCCACTCTCCCTCTCATTCACAGAAGACTCCATAATCCGGAACACGCGAGGTCAAGATCCATCCTCGATCCAGCCCAGATCCACCAAACCAGGCTTAGGCAGATTCGGGCACATCTGTAGCAAACCGTGCCAGCTTGAAGTGACGATTCTCTGAACTATGCTCCTGTAAGTCTGTAAGTGGTTCGGGAGGTCCTCCTCGACGACAGAACTACAACATTGCCCAGATCCAACCGGAGGAATCCGACGTGCCGGGTGATTTGCAGGGCTCTAACGCAGCGTGCAGCTGGAGTTTTCCACCGCGTACGATGCTTCAGCTCCTGTAGATGTCATGCCTGGAAAGTGTTGGTGCCCGGATCTAAATATTCACCTTGCTGCTGTGACAATGCCACGTTCCATATGCCGCCCCAGCTGGGCGTACATGCTGCCGCGATGTCCTTGCTATTGACTATTGATCTGATGCCCAGTTTTCGCTGCGGCCCCGAAACCAAAACAGGTGGCACTATGCACCCTGCTGACCCTGAGACCCCGGAGCGCCTGAGCCTGCTGCGCAGGAGCCGGAGCCCTGACATGATTTTCACATGGAACGAAACCCATTCCTGGATTCTTAGACATGCATGCAGACGCCCAGCACCCCAAAGTATCATTGCCAGGGCACATCGTCTGTACAAGTGTCCTGGCTCGATGCGACGGCCAGAGTCCTGGAGCCACGCGGAGCCACGTGCTTTAGGAAGTTTTTGACATTATTGCCCGTCATCTGTCTCAAGGCTGAGGAGCAGCAGCTGTCACATGCTACTTACTCGCTGACAAGCTGCGCAGCCACTGACAAGCACAGCCGCAACATGGCTGCATGCGTAAAGTGTAGTGAGATCATGTCACCAAACTGAGACTGTGGATGCATGGAACGTGTACAGGTACAGGCTGCATGGCTGAAGGTGAGCATGGACGTCTGGATTCCTACAAACAAGTGCTGGACTTTGCACAAGCCTGCGGTGGTGATCACTAGAGCAATGCATGCGAGTGACTCCAAAACGGAGATCATGTCAAGAAGTGAGCTTCGTGATTCGAGCTGGTTGGGCAGCTGATTCCGAAAGGAGTGCGATTGAGGCCAGGACTGATGAGGCTTTCCGTCCACAAAAAAAGCGACGAGGTCCTTTTCATCGCTTGAACTGCCCGCACATCCAATTCAAACAATGAGACCGTGTTGGTCCCATCTTGACTGCCAGTAGCTACGGAACGAGCCCCTTGTACTCGGAGCCCATGGCTTCAGCATCCCGCCCGTTTTCGATGATAATAACCTCAGTCGACGGGACCAACCATTCGAGCCTAAACCCTAAACCAAAAAAAAAGAAAGCCCCCCCCCCCCCCCCCCCCCCGCAAAAGGCTCCCAGGGCCAAGGCATCTGACTTCAGCCTCGCCATGTCATACCTTCCGGATTCCGGCACGACACAGGGCAGACAAACAGATCCTTCCTGGCGGGGCCCTGGCCTCACAGAGGTCAAGGGAGCATGCTGCACCCAAGACTTCTGCCAGTTGCTGAGGTGAGCCTGTGAGATAAAGCTACTTTTCACCAGACACACTCTCTAAGAGATGGATGCCCACGAACTTTGGCCTGTCGCGTGTTCTCACTGTTGCAGATCACACCTGAGCGGCACATCGTGCAACGGACTGGACTGAGAAGCCGGCAATGCTACGAAACGAAAGGACTGCGACTCTCGAACCGGTCTCAAGAAACCCTCTGCGGAAAGAGACGGTCGATTAAATGAGCGAAACAGACTCGAACAAGCAGACACGCAAATGAGTGCTCCTTTACTTCGCTCCATGACCACACAGCACCCAAGCCGTGCGACAGAAGCTACGGACCAAAAGACAAGATGCTGTTTCTTCCGCTGTTTGGGAAGGATGCCGAGCAAAGGCTTCCGGATTCAGGAATGTTCATAGACAAGTTCACAGCGAGAGGCCTTCTCCCCAATCTGTGAAGTATATCAGATGAGCAGCACTCCACCGCAGCTTCCCAAGTCCGCAAGCCGCCACACTTTCTGACATACCTCTGCAGGGATGTGTTTGGCTTGCATGAGACAGCAGCACCGGAGTCGAAGTCTCTAGGGCAACTTATGGCACTGCCGAGAAGCTGGAGCGATCTGCAGGGAACCCCTGCAAAGCAGAGCAGTGCTGGGCGCAGGAACGCACGGCCGCGAGGCCACACCCCCCGACTGGCCTCGAACGAGTTGGCCCCCACAGCGGTACTCCATAATCTGACTTCGCCCTGGGAGCCGCCGGTATCTGTGGATGTCCAGCAAGCAAGCTCTGCCTCTGTCAGATCACGCGAGCGGTATACTTCTGCCAGCTCTCGTTGTCGTCGTCATGAGATGTCGCGTGGTGCTGCTGGTGGTATGCTTTGTTTAGGTTCGGTTTCACATCAGGAAGGTCCCAGAAAGGCTCCTGAGAGAGAGAGGGAGAGAGAGCGAGAGCGAGAGCGAGAGCGAGAGCGAGCGAGCGCGGGCGAAGGACTCGAGACAAACACACCTGCATTGTTATTGTTTAGCCAAAATCAAGGGAAGCCTACGCACCCCCCAACGCAGAGCGTACAAAAGCCAAGACCCGACCCACCTGGCAGAGTGAAGGGATGCTGGCAAGTAGTGTCTTCCAGCTTTACATCTCCTCTAAGCTGCTCGTTGAAGAATTTGGCAATAGGCCTGAGCAGCTGTAGGCTTGGGCACCGAAAGCATCGACAGATCTGCGAAACATGTGTGATTGATGAAAAGCACCACCGATCCCTCCTGGCACCGGTCTTTGCGGTGTGCACTCTTTCTTGCTTGGAGCAGATCATGTTTTGCGTTGGTAGGACATTCATTTACCATGACTGCACTGCCAACACTGTCAGCTCGTTCCTGCTGACTCGAACTCCGGCTGCACGAAAGCTGTGCCGGTCCACCTGGTGGTGGGCCGAGGTCGTACTCTTCGCGCCGCGATGCCCGGGAAGGAGGGAATGATCAGCACCTGAGTCTTTGAATGGCAGGTCACGACTTTCAACATCGGCTAAGCATCAGCTTCAGGGCTTGCGAGATGTGGGGGTTTGTTCCTAGCAAGAGGTCAAAGTCTGTGTGCATGTGGAGAAGGCTTTTGTCCGTTCGTGTCCTCGTGCTTCGAGGCTGTCACTCTATTTTATCGTATCTTTTCTTCCTGGGCTCACGACATCTGACTACTGTCAGTTGCGCAAGTGCATCGCACAGAGGATCTGAGTTACGTGCAGAGGCTCGCAACGAACTGAAGCATGACCAACAAGCTGTGTGCACCTGTAGCCTTGCATCCCGCCTACCACCAAGTGCCTTTGTTCTGCCGTTTACTGCCCTCTGCACCTATGCTTGCCCATTTTCTCTCTCACATCCGTCGGAGAAATGTTCGCCCCAGGCACGAGCCCCTCGTTGTCACGGAGCGCCTGCATCGCCTCCTGCCGACGAGAGCAAGGAAAGAACTCTCGTCTTTAGATCTGCTGATAGTCACAGACCTTCACAGCAGCCAGCAGCAATGGCGACCCGATTTCTCTAAATCAAACGAGGCGGCCTCTACCCATGAGTATCCGCGCTGCGTATACATGATCCTCAGGCCGATGCTGCCCCGCGCAAGCACAGTTTCCAAAGAGGCGTCGCCGTAACACAACAGATCGGGCACCCAACGTCCATCTCACAATCGATCCGAGCGGCATGTCTGTTTGGAAAATAGCAATGTAAGGTGCATCACATTGATCCACCGCATAATAGTGAGCCAACTCAATATCTGCAGTTTGCGAATCGTCAAATGATCTGCCATGCGTATGACCTGGTCGGAACTTGTCCACGTCATCCCACTGCGCTGACATATTGACACCTCGGTTGAAATCATTGTATAAGGCCCGAGAGATTTCGTCAGAGACACAGCCTTGGCCTACCCAAAGAGCTTCAGCCAGCAAGCAAAAGTGGACATCAAAACATGCATCCTTGGGGGCTGCTGTGGGGGGGAATCTGTTCACCTTCGAGGGACCACGCTTGTACGCCGCGGAGTAGTCGACGGTCATCCAAGTATCAACGAAGTTACCCTTGACCAGTGCATCGGCGACTTCTTGCATGGGGCCCATGAGGTCCTCTCCTGCCCAGGGTACTGGTAAGGAACTTGCTACCAGATTCGGATGCATGCCAGAGCGGTTTGTGAATCAGGCCTTTTGTGTCCTTGGTTCGTGAAGCATTGGCCGGAGAGGCGGAAAGCAAACAACAAATGTCTAGCTAAGCGGTTGACGGCCCTGCAATCGAAAAACCCGTGATGCTCTTCCGACAAGAATCGAAAATCAAATATCGATTTCTAAAGTTGTACTCGTGCTGCCGGCTGAGGTGCTCCACCTGGCACTTGGCTTCGTCACTCAGCCGCTTTGTGAGAAGAGAGTTGCACAGTGGGTAACCTACTTCTAGAGACGGCACTGCCAAGCACGCAGTTGAACAGGAGAAGACTGCAGCCTTGTACCGCCAATCAAACTACACCTGCTTCCAAGCAGCACGAATCTGCAGCTCACTGGCTGTTGTAGACACGGAGATCATGGCTAGACACGCCATTTGAGGCTGGAGATTCAGCTTGGCCTGGCAGCCGTCAACTCGGACTGAAGTCCGCTGACACCGCAGGCACTGCTGTGATGGTCTGTCTACCTAGCAATTCTGCATGCACACACATATAATTGCGAGGGCGGTGAGGCCACGACAGCTGGCTGCACGTTTTTGGTCCTTGCTGCTTCCTGCAGTTCAGCCTGGAGATGCATCACACTGCTTCAGAGTCTAAATTTGCAAACTCCAAGCCACTGGAGACCTTGCCTGGGAGTTCTCTGGTGGGTCTTGGCCTTCAGTTCTTCAGAGCTGGACCAGTTCTTGCGTGCAGAGATTGCTTGCTCATTGTTCCTAACCGCGGCCAAAGATGCTCTTTCGGAAATCGTCTTCTCCAAACATGGCCTCAGCTTGGCAGTAGCTGGAAGATACAGGATTGGAACGACTCCTGCGCCCCACTTCTGAGATCTCTGCATTTATGTAGAGAAACAGCGTCAGAATGCCAGCCATGAAGAGCACCATCCATATCCGAAAGCCGCAACACGCAGTCATGCGTGCCAACCCCACCCATTATGCCGGCTCGATCCCAAAAGGCTGCTGGGAGGGGTACAGTGCGATCCTCGATGCAAGCATAAGGGCACCTGCAAGATTGCAGAGTCAGGTGCAATCCTTCTTCCTTATCTTTCCTTCAGAGTCGCATTCACATCAATTATTCCATCCGGGCTACTTTTTCATGCAACGCAAGGACTCGGCTGTGTCAGCGTCTGCTCAGGGCTTTTGCCAGGCGCTCAACACCACGCCGGCAGTCCTCTCCGTACCCGGCAGGCAGCAGGCATGACTGTTGGCAGCGACACCCCTGCCCGTAGCTGAAGCAGCTTATCAAAGCTCTTCCGAGTGTCGGGAACTCTTAGCTGTGCGACAGCAGTTCCTCTGTGGAGCAGGAATACGCGATGCGGAGATGGCCGTTCCCTTCCTTTCCAAAGACACCTTGGTCGAGGCGGAACGCTTGTCGCAATTTCTCGCAATCAGAGCACAAAGCCACAAGCTCCTTGGTGCTCACTATTACATGCATCGCTGGCCTCCATCTACCACAGCAATGTGGTGCTCGTCCAGGAGATGTCTAGCCTCATAGCACGATGGAATGACCAGCTGCACTCATACTTTCCGGGGGCACCGAAGGTCTGCATGCCGCAAGAAACAAGCTCCGCCGAATCCCCGAATGCAGAGACATCCGGGAAGACGTAGTAGGCACCTTCTGGGCTACCACCCGGCCTCGGAAGCGGAGAATGGCACAGCACAGCCAAAAACTGCGGACTGGCAGATTTTGTCGCGGCTAGGGCGGGTGGTTTAACATTTTTTGTAGCCGGCCGTGGCAGGGAAGCAGGAAAGAGCCTGTTGCTTCTAGACCCTGCAGAGAAAAGCCTGCAAAGCGCTGTTTTTGGTTTTTGACGCTCGACACCGGTCAAACAGGTAACGGCTTGAATGTGGCATTTATCTGCTTCATTGGCTGAAGCGGTGCCCCCATCTCGTTTGCTCATGGTTAGTACTGGCAGAAGATCTCGATCCGGCTCGAGTTCAGATAGAACTAGATCAAGTCATAACTGTATTTCCTCGTTTTAAGTGGGTCCTCTATCTCGTTCTGCTGGTAGAGTGGGTTCCGCCAACTACTGCCACCTGTGGACGACTGCAGTATTGCACAAACAGAACCAGTCGCTGTGGCGACCGAGGGCTCGACAAGTTGATGCCAGGGATGCTCTTCAGTCCTTGACTAGTGGACTCTTCGAACTATTGCCAGCATCTGACTCCAGAACTATCGGCGCAAAGACAGATGCCAAGATTCCTTCGACGAGCACTGATCGTCTTTCGTTGTATTGCGCAAGCATTTCAGCCACGCAGTCTTGCGAAGAACGTAAGGCAGTGGTTCCTGCGTGCTGCGTGAACCTCGGGAAAAAAGAAAACGACAAGACCGGCAAAAGAATCTCTTGGCAGCTGCAGGAATGGAGCCCCTCTTCTGGGGCCACGGCGTGGGAGAACACGCTGAGTAGTAGTATCTGACGGACTGTCACAAGCCACTCACCGCAACCTTTGGCTTCGGAGTCTCCAGCCTAGTCTTGGCAACTTGTACAGCAGCCGCGGCATCGGGGCACAGAGCCCAACCAAGTCGCCATCCATCCATGGCCTTCATAGGTGATCACGCCGATCATTGCATCTGACATCTGCACAATCTTCAGATGATTGAAGAACCGAAAATGAAGAAAACAACCATGGACCACAGTACTCATTCAATGCTCGAATGCAAGGCAAGTCACGTAGGTTTTGGAAAATGTGCTTGCTGCAAAACAACGCTCTGCCATACCTGGTCGAATTCCACAGACCCGCAAAACTCAGAGGAGCGTTGTAACGTATCTTTCGGGCCCACCTTTGATGGCCAGGATAGACGGAGCGGTTGCTCCAGCACTGCCGCCGTAGTACAGCCTGGGAATAGCCGGAAGCAAGAGAGGAGGGAGAGAGAGAGCGAGAGAGAGAGAGAGAGAAAGAGACAGAGAGAGAGAGAGAGAGACAAAGACAGAGAGCGAGAGCGAGAGAGAAAGACAGAGACAGAGACAGCGACAGGGACAGAGAGAAAAAAAAAGTGAGTGAGTGAATGAGTGAACGAAGACGACAAGGTCAACAGCATGTGCATGTGTACCGTGTATGTATACACAAACGAACAGTATGAAAATACATGTGAATGTGTGTAGGTATGTATGTATGTACGCGTGTATACATGTTCGTATTTGTATGACACATGTATATGGGTGTGTGTGTATATGTATGCGCACGTGTATGTGTATGGGCATGTGTATGTGCTTGTGCATGTGTATGCCTAGAACTATGCCTATGCGTATGTGTAGGTGCATATGTATATATGCAATAAACGCACATGCAGACGAAGCTATACATATGTAGATATATAGGTACGGATATGGATACTGACAGACACCCAGGTTTGGATACAGATGTAGATGCAGATATATGAGCTACCATATACATGTATATATATATATATATTCTTCTGGAGAGCAGGTTGCTGTGGGGCCTGGGTTTTTGTAGACCCGCTTTTTGTATCATATTTACATGCTAACAACTTCAAGCACTTGGAAAGTATGCGCAACATTACACCACAAAGTCCCGTACGCTTCTATTCCTGTGCAATGTATTCAAGGTCAGGTTTAGCATGTGTATAGTCAAACGTCAGCGGGTACGACACTGCGGCATCGAGTGGCTACGTATCCAAAGTTCCTCCCACAACAACTATCACAGTCAGGAAACACCGTAAATACCGTGTATTCTGTACTTTATCAAACCAAGTCTTGGGGTAGGCCACATAGACTCGACATATCCCTCACGGAGCCGTATATCTTATCCCCGCAATACTCTTCATCCCATCAAGCCAATCTACCCAACACCAGAACTCAACGCATCATCTGCTTTGGCATGCAGTGTTCGGTTGTTGGAGAACCTGTACGCATTGAATTAGCGTACCTATTTGGCAGAGTGCACAGGCATCCAAACAAGTGTTTAGGTCAGTGCTTTGAATGTATTATTACATGTCAACAAATATGGTTGAGATCAATATTATATGTATTAACATGTTTTATGACTGTCAAGGAGTCAAGGAGCCAAGGAGTAACGAAAAGCTGCCTGTGGTTAATAAGTCTGCTACTTGTCGAAGATGACTCAAATCCTGTTTGCGCATGTTCATGTCCTGCTGGCTGCTATAGCTACTTTCTCTTTGGTTACCCACAACCTACAATCCAAAAGAGCATCTGGATCAATATGAGATCTAGATCCGCACATCTGGTTGTATGGAGCCGCCGCTGACGCCTCGCTCGGGGAAGCTCGAACCCTTATGGTCCAGGCCTTTGCATGATCTTGCATGGCCTTCATGTCCACAAGTATCTGTATCAGAAATGTTTTGGTTTGATATCCAATCAACCCCTTCGTATACCTCCGGTAAAAAGGTGGCAAAGATTGGACCTCTGAGCTATGTTGTAACAACACTTGTGTTTACACGGGAAGACCAGCATACGCATATATGGTGCCGCGTCGCCGCGTCGCAGGCCCCCCCCCCCCCACCCCCCATGGTATGCCCCCCGCCCTTGCCCAGGCCAGGCCTCTCGTCCCAGCAAACAGTTATCCACGCAACTCCCCCCCAAAACATACCTCTCCTTAGCAAACGGGGAGAGCGGGAGGGGTAACCAACAATCCATAGACCCACAAGACAGAGAACCACAGGGCCCCTTCCCCTTCCCCTCCCCTTCGACATACAGATGAGAATGATGGCGATGATGTTGTGCCCAATGATGTTGATGTGCTATTCCCAGTGTGGCTGTTGGTGGTACCTTTGCTTTTGTGTTGCTCTGGGCTTCGGCACCGCATGCTCATTGCTTTATTTGAGGACTCATGCTCTCACAGTCTTTTTCTGCACCAGTGGGCAGAGGTCACAAGTGCCAAGACTGCCGTTTTGGCATATCCATATCTGCACCGAGGCGTGGGCGGGCGTGGCGGGATCTTGAGCGAGCGACGGTTCGCAATCGTCCTCAAGAAGACAAGGACTCATGCTCACACAGTCTTTTTCTGCACCAGTGGGCAGAGGTCACAAGTGCCAAGACTGCCGTTTTGGCAGATCCATATCTGCAGCTCCACCCATTCCACCCGGTAGTCGCTCGCGATCATCCTCGCTGCAAAAGTTGAAACCACATGGCGGGCAAAATGCCCGTGGTTGTAAAGAACTCAACCCGGCGCACCACGTCAGCAAAATCCTCGAGAGGGGCGAAAACAAGAGAGCGGTGCAGCGAAGCCAGGCTAGGCAGGTACTGCACCGAAGAGACCTCCTGGATGTATATTTCCATAATCTTCGGCGTCAGCCATCTGCCACGGCGGCGCACAAGCTCGGAGTTTTCGTCTGCAAGCAGAAGCCAGGTCGCTCCGCCGGCTCGTAAAGAAGCAAGTTCCAACCCAGGGCCGGAGGCCGAACTGCCGTAGGAAAGCTTCAAAGCGCAGCAGAGTTGCTTAAAGCGGTTGCGCAGAGTTTGGCCCGAAGAGGGCCACAGCCTTTCGTGAGGCCGAAGGCGGCCAAAGGCCAGAGTTATAATTTTCAAGACGTCGGGCTGATCAATCCTCACCGACTGGTGCCTCGCTGCAAGGAACCTCGTTTTCGGCTCATTGATGGTGAGGAAGGCGAAGTCGATGGTGTGCCAAACGTCGGAAAGGAAGGTAAGGTCCTTGCGGTATGCTAAGAGCCTCACCTACGCGGAGTAGCCCTCCCCAGGCGAGGGCGAGCATCCCAGCAGTTCTGGGCCAGCCCCACAACAGACTTGTCGAAACCAGAGCAAGGAGGACCTGCCAGGGCATAGCAATATGATGCCGCCCAGGCTCGGCACGCTTCCATGAGAAAGCCAGATCCCAGGACGGCTGCAATAGCCGGCGAAGTTTCGGCACCTTTGCAGAATAGGCATTCAAAAGCTCGCTGTAGTGGCTGTACAGGCGGTTGCTGTGGGAAGACAGAA